TTATAATATCCTTAACCGGCGTACAAAGAGTTAAAACACGTGTACTATATAAATATATCTATTCGATCTTTCGTCTATTTTATAATCGAAAGCTATAAATCGCTGTTGTGTAAGAAAAATGATATTTATTTATATTTATTCTATAAGCAGCTGACAGGCTACTTTGAGTGTCTCAATAAAGGCACGTCCCACAGCTAGTTTGAAAAACCACTTCATTTGAATGTTTATTATACAATTTGATTGGTTGTCGCAAACGACAGCATTAGGTCTGACGGGAACTGAGTGCACCGCGACAGAAATAAATGGGAAAAATGCGGAAGCGATACGCAAATATTTGATTTGAAATAAATATGGCATTTAGACACAAGACAGGTGTCTTGTCGAGTCACGGACTTTTTATATTTTTTGTAATTAATGTTATGTGATTGTCATCAAATGATTTTTTTTTGTAATCGAGAAAATTTCTTTTCAACATTATACGTAACTGATAAGTCGTTGAATAAAAAAAAATTGTTAACGAAGGATGCAAAAATAAAATTAACCAATTCATGCACCACTATTAAATCGGTATTTTAAATCGACCATTATTAAACCTACAAGTTTGTATTGTTGTAGGCCCTTTAATAAACCGTACGATTTTATTGTTGGTTACAGTGGTATATGTATGTAGGGTCGTGTTGTTTTCGAGTGGCGACATAATAAAGTGCATTCGGTTGCCGCTGTCGAGCAAGTAGCGCAGATATCGGAAGCTCGAGAGCCCTACAGCGTCAGCAGACTCTCTTCGTAATTAACATCGAAAAAGTTTCACATTTAATTATTTTCAGCAATATATTGGATTCTCTCTAATATATTAATTTTTATCTTACTAATATTATAAATGCGAAAGTCTAGATGGAAGGATGTTTCTAAGAAGGAATCTCCGGAACGTCTCAACGGATCTTAATGAAATTTTGCACACATATAGAACATAGTATAGCAAAACACATAGGCTACTTATTAAGCTTTTTATTCCGTGCGAAAGGTGTCGCGGGCGACAGCTAGGTCCTAAATAAATGGTTAAAAAATATACTCATATGAATGAAATAACCTTTACAGACTATCCGGTTACGTCTTGTAACCGGAACAATATAGATGTAGTAATTCGCCTACACAATCAATTTAATGGTGCTCATTAAACTTATTATCCATAAACATCGATCACATTAGACGACGCTATTATAAATCCTTGAGTCAAATGACGAATACAAAAGTCGTGGGTGGTATGTAGGCTGATTCCTTTTACTTAAAGGTCTTGTGTTTTTAATGAATAATTGAAATCTAGAATGTTCGTTTATGTGGTCTTAATATAGTTTGAAACGGTTTTATTTTACAAGCTTGTTAACAAGCTGTAGGTTGCACGTATCTTTGAATTTTGTCGAATACATATACCGAACAAAATTTTTAAGATCACGTATTATAAGAAATAGCTTGAGTTACAATCTTACTTATATTACAAATGCAAATCTCCAAAACGGATGAACGGATCTCGATGAAATTTCGCATAGATGTAAAACATAATCTGGACGAACACATAATCTATTTTTTTTTAATTTCTCGCGAACGGAGTCCTGAGCAACAAATAGTGATATATAACTATCACTCTGATATTCACCATCTAACAATCAGAAGTTGCAAACATTTTTAAACAATACAAAATGCACTTCGAGCAATTCAAATTCCAGACTGTTACAATCAGGGACGCTATGCAGTCGGCAAGCAAGAGGTCTATTCAGTATTCAACCGGCCACTTCTTTGTGCGATGGTATTCACGCGCCACTAGCCAACAGTTTTCAGCACGACTACACCAATATACCACTACGACATTTATTTACAACTCCGTAACTGGGAAATTCATTTGAGTATTTAATAGTTGTTTATGTTTTAAATTGTTAGTAAATTAAGTTAAATTCGTAGCGTAAAATTAAACAGTGCATAAATTGACCCGAAAATTTAATATTATACATAACTTATTTGTTGAAGTTCTTAGTTCTTAGATACTGGTTAACTAACTATTAATGGAAGCCCTTAATGTAGATTTTTGATATTAAATCTTTACTATGCGGCACCAATTTATTATTTTACATTACTGCGGTTAGATAATTTCTCAAGTTTGGCAACTTCTATAAAAAATATATATTCCATAAAGTTTAATAAACTTTCGAATGAATGACAGGCACGACCTGGTCTGAAGATAATGTTCTGGAAAGGTAAAAAAAGGCATACGCTACTGCTTTTGCTGACTAAAGAAAGAAAAATTTAGGTCAAGTAACAACAGCGCTCGCAAAGTGTGCAAGCTCTCATTGTTTACTATTCCACGAAGAAAACTCGGCGCTGAATACTGAAAAGGTAAATGAAAAAAAAACTATTCTCCTAAAAATAGGGCAACGAAATGACTAGTGCGAAATAAAACAGTGTAGCTTTTTACGTTGCAATATTTCTGCATCATCTAGATTACGATTTTCCTCTATTTGCAGGATATTTTTTTAATTCTTTTTACTAGTATTAGACATTATTAGTTAGAATAATTTGGCGCGAATGGCGGGCTTTCGTTACGAAGTCAAGTGTCAGAATGATTAATAAGGGGACATAAACGTCGATATTTTAGTAAGGCTAGTGTTGCGCCAGTACACCGGCACTGTATCGGATTTTCTCCCACATTAGTGCTATGAATTGAATATCATAAAATATTATTTGCATTGTGTATTTACCTAAAACATCGTTATCATATTAACTTATATAAAAATATATCTTGCATTTAAACAGTGCTAAAACAACAGTAATATGTTAATTTGCATCTTATCCAAAATACAACTTAAAATATATATATATATATATTAAATAACTAAAGTTGAGTTAATATTCATTATTTTGTTAATTAAGTAATACAATCTCAATTATGGAATTAACCTAAGCTCGGAACGGACTGTAATTCTTTTGTGCGTTCGCCATGAGCCTCGGGCGGGGAATAAATGAAGAAAAACAAAAGTAAACCATTAGGGGTGTCGCCTGTCCGGGACAGACAATACAACAGCAACAGACACACTCTCTAGACTCTTTGACTTTTAAGAGACAGGATCTGCAAAGCGCATACCTCGCTGTCAAGTAAAACCGTACAATAAGTTTTTAATTTGTTTGGTAGTACAGATGGCACAAGACATGACTTTTTGTGACATCTTTGCCTCACACTTCAGGAAAAGAGCAGAATCTATTTTGTACGCGGCTCTTTGCTTTGTCCTTTTCTCTATAATCTAAGTCCCAGCTGAAAGATTGCTCCGCCATACTTATATCCCAACAAACATCGGATGCCATTCGCCCAAGGGTTCTTTTATTAAAAAGGAAAATTATTTAGAGACAGTTCAGTACTTTTACGAAAAACATTTATCGGCCCTCGAGCTAAATTTTAAACAACGAAGACAAAAACTTTTTATGTCTCTTTTGTTTTCACTCATTTTTTATACAAAGTATATAAAAAATATGCTGCCATTCTGCCATTCAAACCGTCTCTATTATATCCGTAAGTCTGGTCAGTTTATAAAGTGACGAAATTGAAAAATTACCATACATTAAAATGTCTACTATCTACAGCCTATAGCTAGTATAAGTGATAAAAGCTACTCGTTTGTGCACAATGTATCAAATACCATGGCGCAGATAGCACCGACCTCTGTCCACCCCGTGCTCGTTATACTGCCGTTATTAATATCGCCATAACTCGACGTCAACGTCGCAGGTGTATAGACAGACTAATTACTCTAGCACGGACACATGTGGTCGACCGTCAATTACGGTACGCCATGAAAATTATTTTCGTAAATTTATTAATTTTGGACAAATTTTTCAACATAACGGTAATATGTAAGTTGTAATCTTTAGGCATTAATATTTAAAGTTCTAATTGAGATTGATTTTTTAATTTAATAAAATATTAAAGATAAGTACACTAGGGCTTATTTTCAAATTAAACCGCAAATTATTTTTCGCGTAAGTTTTTTCTTATATTGTTCGCTACATAATTCTTCATTAACTAGATTAAATAACATTCAAATTTTACAAGTATATTTGATACATTATTTTCACTAAGCGCCTAGTTTTAATTTAGCAGCTTTTATGCGCAATCTATTGTTTGCATAACAATTTAAAACGTCAAAGATTAACAAGGTTCGTTGTCATGCGATATCGTTGTTATCCGTAGTTATGGTGTGGGCCTCGCAGGGCAGCACAAATTGAGTGTCACCTACATGTCATGGGGACGATGTTGTTACAACCGCTTTTTTGATCCTAAACACATGACACTCGATTAATCCGTATAAAGTTTCACCCTCACTTTGATAGATAAATCAAATGGTATTTGTTTTGGTTGAGAGTTTTTGATAGTATTTTAAAAGTAAATCTCAAGCTAAATGATGCATAATTTTAAAGTATAACGTTTCTGTTTATAATAAAATTAAACATATTTGAAACAGTCGAAATTTTATTCATTGAATTCGTAATTAAAAATATCCACGGCAAGATATTGCTCCAAAACGATCAACCGCACGCGTAACTACAAACAAATTATTGACAACGTTTGCCGATTGTTATAAACGGTCATCTGACGCACTTGCGTGCCAGGGGCCCGCACTAGAGGTTTTTAATTAATACGCGACGCTCGCCATGTTGAGGAAATAAATCTTAGTTAATGTCCCTTTAGTCTGGTCGGCCCCATGTGCCGGCTAGCGCGAGGCTCGACAATCGATTTCATATTAGCTATCGTTAACATTCCGAATTGCATAACTGCCATATCTGTACGTCTGCGAATGTATTTCATTATGCAAATGATTACATTGTTTGATGCGCTTGTTATTTGTTGATAAGTTTGTAGCATTGCGTTTCAATTTCTTCAATGGTTCAATCAATATCAAAGATGTTTCAAAACCCTTGCGTTTCTATATAGTAAAATAATTAATCTGTATTTGTTTCAGAAATGCGACTTTCCTCGAGCCGCACTTGCAAGGCATAAGACGCCGCGATAGCCGAAGCTCCGATTCGGAGCACGATGAGCGGTCGACGGAGGACGACGAGCGGTCGCTCCTGCGCAGCTCCCCGCGCACCCGCTTGCCCCCTGCGCCACCGCCGCCACCGCCGCCCGACGACGAACCTCCGCCGATGAAGCCCAGAGACTACTTTGAACGGCTGCACAGCCAAGCTATGAGAGAGGCGCAGGACAGGAAGCCCAGACGAGAAACGAAAGACGCTCTATTCAGGGCGGCTGACGCGGACGGCAGCGTGGGCGACAGTCTCAGTCAGGTGAGAATTGATTAGCGGATTATTGCAGCCATACGATCTTTTAAATTCTAAATCAAGAATGTCACTGATACAATCGATTAAAGTTTCTCTAGACATGTCTCAAGATAAATCTTGCAACTTACTTTTGCAGGATAGATTAATCGTGTCTCTCTGAAACTTATTGCAACTTATACATTAAACAACATATAAATAGTCTTTATTTCACTTCTTAAGAATAAAGTGTGACCATAAATTCTGAAAGTGAATTTTAAAATGAAAAGTTGTTATAAAAAAAGATATAGTCCTTGCAAACGGAACGTCAAGAGATTCTTTGCATTTGTACGAGGAAGTTTAAAAAGTTCTATTCATGAAGAGAACTTGATTCCGTACGACTAATGAACCGTACCGTACCTGGTTAGTTTCGCAGACAGTTTTAGCTTCCCTTTTTGCAAATGGCCAGTATTTACTCGCTGTTATTTGAGACGAGAGAAATAAACATTCCTGCTTTAAAAAACTATCTTTTTAAATTCATGTCGTTTACTTGTCCTTTGTTGTTTTGTTAACGTCTAACTTTTGCTACCATTAAGCTACTAAAACTGGAGATAAGCTTAACATATGTATGTATATGCATACAATTTGAGGAGTAGATTCGGCACTAAACTTGTGAATTGGTTCGTAAAATTAGAACCAGCTTTTTGAACATATACTCGTACTAGCGTAGGTGTCGTTTAGTGGGAATTATGTTCGTATCATTTACTTTTCCATTCGTAATTGTTTTATTTATCAGGAAACAAATAATAAATAAAGACGCCTATCGGTAAACCCTTTTATAGACTATCAGGTGTTAATAAAAGTAAACATTTTTGTGCTATCTTTTGTTGCGACATGACGAAAGTGTAGGCACAGTCTGTTGCACTCAGAGTACACTTAGGCGGTAAGAGAGCTCTCCGCTGTTACTTGCCAGTCAATTGCGGGTGTCGCCTGTACTACACGAACCCTTTTCGTCCATTGTTAAATGTTACACGCCAAACGCCGGATACCAAGCTTTTTACTCTCAAGAGCCAATAGGCACTGATGGCGTGTTGTATGGAATCACCTTAATGCACCACTTCGTCTATCAATGGGAACTATTTTTAGGTGTAAAAATGCGAAAATACTGTTGCATTCAGATTCGGATGCAACTGAATTTGTATATTTAAAATTGTATTTGTCAAATCATTGGTTATTAATATTTAATATCAATTTTAAACTGTAACCTTGCAATTGAGTATTACATGAGTGTCAACATCAACAGCTATATGGCCTCACAGAGAGGGTCGGAGCTTACCCTAAGTTAGCAGTAACTAGGCCGTAGTCGTGCAGGCCCAGTGCACGTTGACTGCACACATATCTTTAAATTTCTTGGCAGATATGTTGCAGATTGCATCACTATGTTTTCTTTCACTTTAAGAACGTCGGATACTTATTTAAATAAAAAACGAAACATACATTGGTACAAAGCATGATTCGAACCCGGGACCTGCAAAGGTTACAAATCAAATGCTTTAACCTCTCAACCAACGGCGTACATACAAAAGTACATTTGAACCAAAATGGTATAAAAATATTTACGTATTTATACTATACTAATATCAAAAGGGTTAATATTTATGACTACACTTGCAGTACAGTCGAGTTGACGATTAACCCTTAAATGAATGTCCCCGAGTCGTTGTAAAGTGCCTCTTGTGGCTCGTAAATGACACTCGTGAACTACTTTTACAAATTTAGACCATGGGTCCGTCCTCAGATTAACAATGTTTTCGACTAAATATACTTTACGCTTAGAAACACGTCCTAATAAAGTATTAATGTCATTTAGTTAAGTATTTATTCGCACATTAGTGGAAATACATTGGTTTTATTTATGTTACCTTACGGACTTACAAGGGTTTAATTTAAAAGTTTATTTTGTAAATGGATTAAACAAATGTGCTTCGTCGAGTTAAATAGATATGGATACATTGCGAAATTAAATTATTCCTCATAAATAAATGAAAGTTTTGCTTCATATCAAAATATGGACGATTGGCGAACAAATGAAAACAAAAGTCAGCGTCCCCTATTTACTTTAAAGTGCTATCACCAAAACAGAACAAAAAACAACAATGCATTGAAAGTTTCAGTCGGCGCAAAACGATTATCGGTCTATGCCGCACTTCCGTCTTCGCCCTAACGCCCTCCAATGGCGGATTTTAATCGGTGCAATTTAAAAAAAAGAGTTAACGCCATTTGTGCATAATTCCCGTCCGTTGCACCTCTGCGCTTACGCTAAAACAATAAATTCACGCTCTTCTGTTTGACTTTTTATCAAATTTTAATTGCTTGACTATTCATTATCACGTTATGTTCATTTTTTTAAAGGTTTTGTAGTCAACATTGTACTGTAATTTTTAGTAACATTTGCTATGTTAGTAGCATAACACGTGGCAATGACAAAAGATATAAATTATAGTATTTAAACAATTACAGTCCTAATTTGTTTCAAATAACGTAAGTCAGATGTCAAGTCAATACCGACCGAACCGGACGATCCCCCGCGTCGAGTGGCGCCCTCTCACTTCCGTTCCTCTCATTAACGTAATACCTTGCCTTTGATCCTCACGTACGGTTCACTAGCTCTTTATGTTATTGTTAATTTATATTTAATTATAAATAAATTGATTAAAAAAAATGAAATCATGAAAAACAACATTCTAATATACAAATGACTACAATACAATTACACGTAAAACTAAAAGAATATTATACTTTCTCCTTAAAGAAGTTTCTGCTCTTGAACAAATAAGAAGAGTGCTTAACTTTGTAATATGCTCGGGAAAGTAAAGATTGTGGATAAAAGCATGTTAAAATTAAATTTTTTAAAGTGCATCTCAATATCAATTAATTTGTAAAATCCCACTGCAGCCATCGCAGCGGAAGTCGCGCCGGGTCCAACGATTTATTGATTCCCGACCTCCCCGTGTGAGTCATCTGTACTTGCAATTCCCTCCCCCGCCCTTCCCTCCACCCTCAAACGTCACGCGAGCGTCCTTTGGACCACAAACGCTGTTTGCTCTCTTTGATTGAACTTGAAGAAACTAAAGGGTCGCCGCCTCGAGTTTGCAATGTAATAACTGTTTCTTTTCTACTTTATATTTTTTGTCCATTTTTTATAAGCCTTGCCACGACGTTTCGTTATTCCTTTGGCGATGTCTGTTTGCTGAACTTGTTAAACTTTGCTTCAAAGTTATTACAATTTCTTTCGATGGTTTTAGATTATTTTTATTATTTTACGAATGGTAACAAACGCTTCTAATGCATATTTTGTTTCAACGTAATAACATCGCCACTGAAGTTCCGCGTTAATAGATCGCAGATATTTACAATATGAAGCAGTCATTAACCCAGTTAACATCCCTATTCTATTCTAGGAACGTCACAGGTGTTGTTCAGTCGCCAGTAAAACGTCGACGTCATTACCCGAGACTGAACACGTGAGATACTTAACACGCTCTTCCAAAGTTTACTAAAGTCAACTGTTATGCGACACTGAACGTCGACTGTTGTATATTTTTATGAGTTTCGAGAGCACAGCTGGTACTTAAGAGATTGCGAAGTCGCCGACTGGGGGAAACGTGTAGGTGCGTTTTGCGCTGATTAAAATGAACTCGTAATTATTTTCGGCGAGGAGGAATGTCGCATGGTACGGCGGTGTATTTTCAAATCTGTCGTTTTATGTTTTGCTTTTGAAAGTTTTAGATTACTTTACTTTATTAGACGACGAAGATTTTTACGCTTTTAAGAGTTCCGTACCTCATAGGAAAATTTACTTAATTTAATAAAAAAAATTAATTCTTATAATCGTAATAATTTTAGAGTGTTCTTGTTATAAGCTTTGTTTAGTCATACATTGCTATCAATTACTTTTGAATTCGCGATATCATTGTTCAGATATAATTCACTCCACATGAAGCCTTGACATGGTTCGCCACATTCAAGTCGCCACGGTGTTGAACAATTTGAAGGGAAATAAGTTTACCGTATTAATGAAATTTAGTTGCCAAACAAAATTTTGCGATAGAAGTATAAATTTACATAACCCTCAATCGTTTTAGATAAAGAAAGTAATTCTTAACATGACCATGACAATAGTTTCGTGCACATTTTTCAATAAATAACTAAAGAATACACAGCAAATTTTATAACAATCGATCGTCCAACTTCGTACATTACAGCGACAGTTCACGATGGGTCTCATAAAGGCACCAGAAGCGATTCAACATTTAGCGCCTGTATAAAACTAATTGCAAACAACTTTCTACATAAATCGCGAGCAATATTTCGTGGAGGTGCAATTTAGCGGAACGTTCCCGTATCTATTGTGCCCATGAATTTAACACCTCAGCCGGCGACGGGCGCCGGGCTATTGTTGCATTTGATTCATTACCGCAATGTTACGAATTATTATTGTTACTGATAGGAAAATTAATTTCTCTCTCGCCGTTCACTGTTGAGTTTTAAAGGGTATTAAATAGCTTAAAACGCTTTTTGGCTTCGTTGGAATTCAGGATGAATTATTTTTGTTATTAGTGAAATAATTAATATGTTGTCTCCTCTACTGTTAGAGTTTATTAAACGTTTAAACAATTGTATTCCTTTACTTAAAAATAGATCACGACATCAAAATTGACATTTCAATGAAAAGTGAAATCAATACACGAACGCACTCGTAGTTTATACGACAAAATCGTGTTGTACGAAAGATAAATCATACACTCAGAGCGTAGAAGCGCTAACGTGTCGGTGCCAACATAACAACTTAACCATGATTTATAGCATTGTTACGACAAAATTAATTTTACACATCTCCACCGCGACGTCTGACTTATAATTTATTCTCTTTCAAATCTCGGGTGAAAGTAAATTTCCTCTGCGTATACTTTGTAAATCGTTGTACTTTGAGTCATTTCTCAGAGTTGTTTTAATGATTGTTAATACTATTAGCAGTGATTAATGTAAAAGTTTAATAGTTACTGAAGCAGTCCCTTAGTTTAGATTACATTTTAAACCTATACTAATTGAAATATATAACTTATTAGTGTTTTGCCGCACAATATATAAAAAAATTGCTTTATTCGTCGGAAACTACTAGAGAATTTAACATAGGAATATTACTTCACAACTATCAGTCGTCAAAGATTGTTTCTTTAAAAATCTTTGCTCTATACATGAAAAAGATTTCAAGGTAATTTTGGTAGGTCCGGTGCAGTAAACAAAGTACATAAGTTCGTTTATTTAGCGGCTGGACTTTAATTTATGGACCAATAACGACGACCGCATATGTGGTTTTTTTATTTATCAGTGCATGAGCCGCGTGCAGCCGACACATTAATCATTTGTAATCTACCGACATTGAACCACAATGAAATGCTATTTGGAAAAATAGAAAATACATGTTCGAAATAAATAGAATCATTTTTATACCGCGAAGACTCAATTGTAAAATTTGATAAAGCGTTATTGTTATAAGTAAGGTTATAAGAAATCAGATGAATATCCTTTACATTAAAAACAGTTAAGTGAATTAGAATTTCTATAACTAACATATTTGATTAAAAAAATTATTGAGACAACCAAAGCAAAATACGGAGACCAATACGAAGATAAGTATATATAAACAATATTACAACTAACTAAAATATTATATTTTTTCTATATCAAAAAGTTTTTATTCATAGTATTAGCCTTAAATTAGATTTAAATGATGCTTATACTCAACCTGTCCTAATAAACTTTCTAAACTTCATTATAGAAACAACTTTGATGTAACGAAGAGAGTTCTCAATCTAAATTAGTTAATTTTCCGGGGGTTTTCCTTTCGCTGCGATATTATAGTCGGCTTAAATTACGTCTTACGATACCTTGGAGAAATCTGAGCTGACGAATAATATGTTCACAAGACTTTCTAGTAATTATATGTAGTGTTAAGTACTGCTGACGTATTACTAGCAATTTTTCCAATAGCGACGTTTATATACCTCGTATTTATGTTGTTAATAATCTAAAATAAGAAGATAAATCTTCATCAGTCTTACGTTAAGTTTACATTAAGTCATATTTTTTATCACTTTAATTGGTTTTTTAAACATATTTAATATAATCGATATCAATATTGAATATAGTCTGCTACTAAATGACGATTAAAAAATCTAACCTTCAAGAATTTTTAAAGCCGGCCAGTAGTTTTAGAGTTTGTAAATTAATAAAAACTAAAAAAATCTCCGTTAATATTAGCTCGAGTGTTTCCAATTTTATTTTGCACAATAAAATATACCTACAAAAATTCTAAGGATTAAACAAAATTATTAAAAATTTACATTTAATGCTACATTTACTTTAAATGAAAATATCACAAAGCCGCTGCTTCTAAGCTCTAATCCCCAATTGCGTCCTTTGCTCTGCCGCACTGCTGTACTGAACAGCAATCTCATAAAAGAAATCCTCCGAGAACGACCCTTAAATTGTTGAGGGAAACATACGGTCATGTATTTTGATTTATTTTGTCTGCATTAATACTCATTCTCTTACACTTATGTATGTTTTTAAAACAATAAAACAAGCTTGTCATCACTACCCTAACTGATGATAAGGTCGACGAAAGTCTTTTCAAGGTTTATTCTTGGAAGAAAACAAAAACAAAACGTTTATATATATTCACCCTATTGTTTGCATTTATTGTACCTTACTTCCATCAGATAAATATCCAATATAGTTGTATATATTGTTGAAAATCATACACCGTGCCGGTGTATTAGCGCAACACTAGCCTTATTAAAATGTCAACGTTTTGTCCCCTCACTAATCAATCTGACTCTTGACTCGGTAACGAAAGCGCGCCATTCGCGCCAAAGGATTTTGACTAATTATATCTAAAAATGTTATATCTTTATCATTGTAATATACACTATGTTCCCGCGTAAATTAACATCTGCTAGGAATCATTTTCTAGTATTTAACCCCCTGTCTGGCGAGTCCAGTCGCTCGGTAACTTAGTTAGTGCTATCCAAAGCTACGCATATTAAAGTGTTTACCAAACAAACCGCTGTTTGTTTGCCAAAGTTTCAGTCGCTCCGTCAGTAAGTTTAAGACTGTTGTGAATTTCAGTTGAAACGTTTCTGCTTACAGAGAGTTCTATTAGTAAAAGCGTTGCCTACCAGTTTTTTAACATTTTTTTTTAATGTTTTGATATAAATATTTTTCGATAAACGGCTGTAAGTTATTATGCTGAACATTAATATTATCTGCTTCTACTCTCTCCTTTTAAACAATAAACATTTTAAGCAAGTCAAGTTACATCTCTTATTGTCAAAATGTGAGTAATTCTCTACCAGTTCGGCCTCTCAAATATTTAGACTAATGTTGTTGCTATATTAATATCATCCTCATTCAACTTATTTTTTCTATATTTTAAGATGGTAAATGAGCATGTGGCCACCTGTATTCGCCGAAATAGCGAAGCCACCACTACCCATAGACACCCACTTTGGCGGATGCTTTTCCTTACTATCATTTTGATATAAGTAGTAGATTATATTACGTTGACTAATTACTCTATTACGCACTCACTTTTATGCGACTATTGGTTCTTTTATCCTTATAAAATGCAATTAATAAATACATTTGAATAACATTTGTATGTCCGGACGCTATTAATTAATTTACATCTAAATCCCTATCTAATAAAGTGTTCAATTCAAATTCGTATCCAGTAAGCACCGCAGAGCATTAACCGGGCTGCGAGCTTTATCACAATTAACTAGCGGCCAGCTCGTTGCAGACAATACGGCACATAAATATACCGCTTTATTCAATGTTGTGATATTTATTGCACTCGAGTTATGCGAAGTGTTTGAATTTATGTAAAACTAGATGTCGCTTGCGACTCCGTCCGACGTTAAAATAAACTTAATTTGTGGCCCATGTGTTTTTCCAGGTTGTGTTCTACATCTGTGCCGAAATTTATTGAGTTCCATACATCCAAACTTTTCCATTTATAATATTAGTAAGCGTATAAGCCACGTGTAATGTAACTCTAAGATTGTATTTCGCTTTAGTCTACTTGAAATTTATAAAAACAGCAGCGGGAAATTCAAAGCAGGCGAAATTCTTTCAAAGGATATCGTCCTATCCTGATAGTTGCCTTGACTGAGGCCACTTGCCCATAAGGATAGAAATAACTTTGCTATGATAACAAGACTAATGCAACTAAACTGTGAAGGAATGAACGTATATGAAATTGTTTGCGCGCAACCAGGGGTAACGAACTTTTTCCTGCTTTAGTATTGCTAAATCCTTGGTTATAGAAATCAATTCTGATACGCTATTTTCGTAGAGACCTACATATTTTTATCTAAGTGCAAGATTTATTAGATTTAACATTCATACAAAAGATATACAACATATTTTCTTCATTCAGCAAATCCTTCTTTTAAACATATAATACAAAGCAAACGAGAAGATCGTTAACCATAATAGATATGGTTTACTACTCAAAGCACGGTATTAAAATTATTGTACAAATATAAAAAGTTTGCAGCCCATCAACGCGCAGTTGAGTACCCCTGGCTTATGCCTTTGTAGGAAATGCCGCCGAGGCTTTTTGCGTGGAAATCGGGTAATAATATTTCCAACTCCGTGAACAAAGAGTCTTCCTTCTGTTTGAAGTGAACGTCATGGAAATTTGTCGCAAAATATGTTTTCATCTTTTTGAAAAACTTTCCCAGTTCATTTTTCCATTGTAAAACTTTTTTTTTTCAACCATACATTTTCTTATTTTCTACCAATAGCCCAAGAACTTATTTTAATTAAAACGTTCGAGATATTTAATTTTTATGTTTTTACCTCTATATATTTTTTTAAAAATGTTATTCGGGAATCGTCAAAAAACTATGGATAAGATAGATACAGGCACAGTTGTAATAAAATATTAAACTTGACAGTTTCTAAATTGCCAATGCAAATTCAAAGTTTAATATCTAAAAGTCGGAATGTTCACCATAACAATATCGTTAACTTATCTCGGAACAGTTCCACAGTCGAATGGAACGACTATCGTTAAAACTTTTGCATCGTTCGTGATCGCAACTTGCAAGACCCAATAACTAGAGAAGGTTTTAAAACCGTCTTGGCACCAGCTACAAATTTAATCAAAAGAAAATATAGTGGGGCTATATAGTTCGCAGTAGGCAGCGAAATTGCCCAGACGCTCTCGTGTCGCCATCCTCGTGGGCAACTTGCCCGGAACATAGCCATCGTAAGTAATATTTAAGCCATAAAACATGTGTACTACGAACTCACACTATAGACTAAGCCGTATGTACATGTGTTCAGTTAATTTATTCGAAAAGATTTTTCGTATAGTTAATTTAAATAGACTTAATTATTTTAAAAACTTTGTAACACCGAGTATTTAAATCGTTGTTAAGACAGCTAATTAAACTTAAAAGCAACGTTATTTAGTTTATAATTTATTAATAATGAACCGCTTAACAGATTAAAGTCGAAAACAGGTTGTACTACCTAATTGCGTTTCTTTGATGTGCTACGCTACCTAATTAATAATAATACGACTAACAACACTGCAAAATGTTATTACTGAAATAATGCATTTGTTTTTACCTTTAAATGAAAAACCTTTGTTGATATCAATTTAGCAGATTGACAATTATTAAACAATTAATAATTGTTATTTAATATAGTTTTCCAGTTATTAAATAAATAAAAATAAATAAATAAATTAATTAAATAAACATTGCCTTTATACTAATTTGTTTTTTTTACTTAGAATGAACTAGAGCTAAAGTACGATCCCATTTGATGTTAAGTGATCATGTTCTATTCAAATTGACAATTAATTGTTATTATCTTATTAATTTCAGAGTCGAGAGAGCCTGTCGTCGGATGGTGAAGGCGCTCGAGGCGACTGCTCTTCGGTGGGCTCCTCAGGATCGGGTTCTGAGGAGCAGCCGCCATGCGACATCGGCCTGCTGGAGCGACTCATCAGAACGCATCCCGTCTGGTTCCTGCCCGGGATACAGAGGGCTGGGGCGTTTCATTTACTGCAGGGGAAAGAGGAAGGGGTACGTGTTTTGTTGGTCTCCTATAAATTTTATCTTATTACCTAATTACAGTAGTACCTATATGCAATATTGAAGGTCAGATATGACCTAAGAAAGAAATTCCATAATATACCTAAAAGGATTTACATTAAAACATTACCAAGATTCTTCTATGATTTACATACTTAATTGATCCTAACCTATTTCCTAATATCAAGTCTAACTTTTGATAAAAAATTGCGACAACTTTGCGCCATTGTTGTTAGCATCAAGTAAATGTCTCTGAGTTATCCGGAACTGACTATTTTTATTATATCTTCCAGAACTTCGTAGTCCGGCAATCGAGTCAGCCGGACACGATGGCGATCAGCGTGCGCCTGCCGGCGGACAAGGGTCCGTACATTGAGCACTACCTGATCCAGGCGTCCGGCGGCCGCATCGGCCTCGAGACCTCGCACAATCGCTTCGACAACATACCTGAACTTATTGCACACTACTCGCAATGCTGGTAAGTAATAACTGATGCATTAACCGTTGGCTTCTAATCCTGGCGAATCTTTGACAAAAAAGAGATAAAATTATGTTTTAATCGGAAATTGTAGTCTTAGAAACCCACGCTCAGTCGCTAAGTATCAATTTAACTTTATGCGATGTTGAAAGAGTCTATAGTACCATAAAACAATTGCAGTAAGACTCGTTGTCCTTTAATAGTGCAACTCGATTCATATGGATTTTGAAACCTAACCAAGGTTTCTTAATAATAAGTGAATCTAGTCAGAAAACTGAAATGTACATCGAAGTAAAACCGTTCTCTGTTCTCCGTAACATGTCAATAGAAACAGTCTATTGGTACCTAAAGTAAAAGCTTATAGTAAATCTATTTACGTGGTTGTAAACGGTTTACGATAACACTAATCTACTTTGTAACCGTCCTGGCTTTGAACGCCTAATCCTATACGTTTTATTGCCGATACATCACTTTTATCCATTTCATGTTTAAACTACGAATAGGTTTGTAGCTTGTTTGTAGCATTTTTTGAATGTATGTTACGTTTTTAGCCTTCTTGTTATTATTAAAGCTTGAAAAATACCAACTAATCGCAATTCAACGTTCGTGAAGCCTGGATTACTTATCATTTATTTCTTTCCAGTGACGAATTACCAGTTCAGCTACAGTTACCGCGCGCACTCCGTGAGGCTAAAAGTCGTCACCAGCTGAGTTCCCTAACGCTACTGGGCCAGGAATTCTGGGGGTATCCAATGGCCAATCCTAAAAACAACCCACAGAATGTGCTGTCGCCATGCCAACTGGCAAATGGCGTCATACCGATGGCTGTCACTCCGTCAGATACCGGATCTAGTCTGAGCAGTTTTAATGCAAGTAAGTAAAATATTGCGTAAATTAAAAGTTCAAATCCAACTCCCAACTTAAAAGCACAACTAGAATTCGATCGATTAAAGTAAAATCATATATCATAATTTTAGATGCTGGGCCGAATTCTCGCGAGCATTTTTTTAGTCCCGATAAGGATCAAAATGTAGTTTTAAAAATGTCGCCAGTTGATGCGTCCGAGTCTCCGCCGTGCCAAAGCCAAAGCCTCAGCACATTCAAGGGCCGGAGCGCGCCCTCGCCTCCCGCCAAACCTAGCGGGACCTTCGTCCGTGCTCCGAGGCCCACGCCGCCAAATACGCTAAATCTTCTCTCAAGTACAGTAAGTAAACATAACTTTGCAATCTAGCAGCTTATCGGTGTATTTTTCTAATTTGAGTTTAATCAACGCTTGACATCTTTTCAGGCTCATATCACACAACCACACACATTTCCTACGACAAACGCTCATTCACCAACGCAGACTAACAGTGCAAAAACAACGCCCCCACCGCCTCCACCTAGATGGGCTAAGCCACCTTTTACAAAGATGTCTTTATCGCCAAAGTCAGAGACACATTTGTTCAATCCAATCAATAAGGCGGCACAAAACGGAAACGTAACTGTAACTTCCACGAACAACATACACATACAGAGTAACCACATGGTAGAGAGAACACACGATCGATCGCAACTAACGCTTACGTCTAACGCCGCCAGCATTAATAGCAACGGTGCTGGAGCCAATGCGGATGTTGTCAAAAGCTTGTTCGAATGTAACGGGGACACGCAGGTAAGAAACACTACACTTGATTCTGCATGACGTGTGCATAATTTGCATGATATTAATTTATATATTTTAGATATATTTATACAGCCAATTGCTCTTATATTGATATCCTAACATAAAATATTTATTTGTATTTAAAAAAAGGTGTACACTGATATGATTATTCCTGTTCCTATATAGAATATGACGCAACGTCAGTCACCAGAAGGGGAATGTGTCAGAGCCGTTACGACCTCCTTACACGGCAGCTTTAAAAGCCAGAAAGTTGAACAAAACATTGAATCGGGATCACCGATAGAACCACAATCTCAAACAAATACTTCTGAATCAGTAGATCCGATCGTAAATTCTTTATCTAAATCCAATAGTTTTGATCCAAACCAATTAGTTTCGCCAAATGGCACGAACTCTGTCACCAGTGGAATCTTTTCCCCAACGAGTCAAATCAATTCACCTGTATCTAATGATACAATATCGTCTAAAAGTGGTGTTTTCTCTCCATCGAGTCAGACTAATAAAAGTGACATATTTTCACCAGTATCCAGAAGTTCGCCTATTTCTAATAAGAATGTATTCTCGCCTACTTCGAACCAAAATATTATATCCCCAGTCATAGGCAAAGTTCTATCTCCCAACACGAATACAACGAGTACAACGCCATCTGGCAGATCCCGAAGAAGCAAACATTCCCTACGAAAGGAATCCAGACATTACCAGGTAGGGAGAAGACATATTAGTTAATCGATAGTATTAGAGAGATAGTACGCTAACGCAATATAAAAATGTAAGGAATATATCATACAAATTATATTACGTTTAGTAAAAAAAATATATAGCATGCGCATTTCATCACGCGATGTATATATTGTGTGTAATGTACTATAATTACTAATTGCATGAAAATATAATCACATACTCATCAATTTATACATAACATTTAATTCGTATATCAATAAAAACAAAAAATAATATTTATTTTAGGAATCAGATATACTTGAATCACCGGGCATATATTACAGAAGTTCTTTGATGGACAAAGTTAGTGATTACGAAGATATTTGGGGTCCGGAGGGTAATAATTGTACCACATTCAAACCATTGAAATCCGAGATTGATAGTAATTTAAATAATGGACTTATGAAAAGCAAAAGACCCGATCTACTTCCCGACACACTGCGTAAGTATAAATTTTTATAAGTAAAATAAAAAAAATCATGTTATAATTTCATTACGAGTCACTTCTCAGCTAAAGGATTTAAATTAGTTAGAAAAGTCATAGTTATTTTTAATAACATACAGTTTACTCAAATCATATCGATGCATATTAATTTTATTTACTTTAACAGCAAAACTAAATGCAGCAAAAAGTACACAGTCAATCTTAGAAAAGGAAAATATACATCTTATAAATTCAACCGAAAGTCTAATCGAAAAGAAAAATCTTTCTGATAATTCGCTTAAGAAAAGTTTCAACGGCTCTTGTGAAATAATAGCAACGACCAATAGTAAAGGAGAGATTGTAGCGAAAAGACCTGACAAACTGAACATTACTTCGAATATGAATAAGAAATTGAATGAAGAAATTGAAGCAGCTTTGAAAAGTAGAGAGAATTATAGGACTGAGAGTATGGAGACTGTTAAACTAGAGGATGACACTAAGGAACCTATTTCTGAAGATACAGATAAAGACAATGCTGGTAGTCCATTTTACGCGGATCCTGTAGACGCTTTGAAAGAGGTAAATAATAAAGAGGTCTTTAAATCTATTTTGAATGTACTCAATATAGTAAAGCAAAAAACTTAGACAGGAATGCTAAACAGATTTTTTTTATCTAAGAATCATAAAAAATAATTCGTTCTATGTTTTAGGCTGCACTTCCACAAGTGCAAAGAAGAAAACTATTGCGAGTGGGCATGAACTTGTCACAGCGGTACTCGGAGCCGCCGACCCAAAACCACCCGTACTATCCACTCAGAGACATGCATAGTATTGAAGAACTGTCACGTAAGTATCGAAATACTCTATTTTTTACTGCGTAAATACATTCAAGGAGAAAAGACCAGTGAACAAAGCCTTTAGAGCAGAGTTTATTATAGCCAATGATAAATCCAAAAAATCCTCAAAAATTTCCTTGTTATTCAGTTGTACACATTCGTAATTATTTGTATTCTTAATTATAATAATACTTGGATTTTCATTTAGCCTCGTCTCCAAATACGTCAACATCTGTGGATAACCTGGTATCTTTGCGCACGAAGCCCAAGATGCGACCTGTGGAGCCCCCGCGCGTCAATAAGCCCCCGGGCAAGGCCGACCAGCCCTGGACTGTGGACTCCAGCTGGCAGTTTATAAGTAAGTACACCGAAGTATGCCCGTATCTGAGTACACTGTTAATTTGGCACGTCTTGAACAGGAATACTCTTCCACCATACACGCTACCAAGCGCCAACTGTCAGGTGGATAACTACTTTAATAAATTAACTTTGATCGATAGATAAGAATGAAGATGGAGGCACGGGAGGTACGGGTAGCGTTGGTGAGAGCGGCACATTCCCTTCGCTGGCGGAGCAGGAGCGGCTGGGGGCTGACGACGCACTGCGTCTGACTGTGCACCAAGTCGTCGCGCACAAGTAAATTGCCTTCAATACTCTCACTATCTCTCCTTCTCTCTCTCTCTCTCTCTCTCTCTCTCATCTTCGTTTCCTAATGTCTGAGGTTCGCGAGTTCTCCCCATGAGCTCCTCTCTTATTTTTCCAATAAGTACGGTCCATTCCATTGTGACGTAGACGTCGGCAAATCGAAAATAGGAAATAAATATTCAAATAATTATAACTCAGGTTTCCCGAGTTGAAATTGAACGCGGAGCCGGTGGCGTTGCCGGAGGAGCCGCGCTCACCGCCGCGCGCCTCCTGCTACGACAACGTGCACGACCTCAGGCCCCTCTCTGAACAGGTACTTTTATTTTGTATAATATAACTGCTCAAATATACAATATTTTATTTCTTACAAGAACCTCAATTATAGTGAATTAGTCTTAGGCTATGATTTTTTTTCGTCCATCTCATTTTTCAAGACAAAGAATATAAAAAAACAAAACTTATTTAAATTTTAAGTACACTATAATATAACATCTATCAGGCAAGTGACGATGGTACGGTGTTCTCGGAGCCGTGGGACAGCTCGCAGTGGGATGGCCTCATTCCGCCCTGCAATGGAAACCAAGCTTATGAAACTGTAAGTTACATGGATATAATTTGTATATACTACAGAGAAAAAAATGACTGCATAAAACTCAGCATTTATTGCAGTCTGCTTCTTATTGTGTTAAAACTATGCTGTATTAAAAAAAACAACCGCAACAGTTCATCATGCCTTAAATTAAATCTTCAAACCATTAAGATAAGTAATATAAAAGTGTTTAAAACAATAAACTTAACTTGTCGCACTAAATAAAAATAAAAAAAAATAGTTGGATCGCATTAATCCCGTGTCCCTTGATTTGACAAACAAATGACGTATTTGTGCAACAGGACTGGTTTTAATGTCCTTATTATTTGTTCATTATAATAATAATATCTCGTTTGTGACCCGAACATACGCGCGCTGTACCTGATATCTCAAACACTCTAAGCTTCTAACTTTTTGATACTTCATCTATATTTATATTTGTCACAAAAAGGACTGCAGGTCTTTGATCCCAAGCAATAAAAGTAAAATTTTATTTATCCATTTTAAAACATTTTGTGACTCACGTGGATCGTTGACTCTAAAAACTTTTGTTTAGAATCTCTTAGAATACTTATTTATGTTAATTTTTTGCTATTCATTTAAAAGAAAAACAAAGTTATTTGATTTATAGATTTAGATACTTACAGATTTTTTTACCTTCCAAGTATTGAAGTCTAATCAGACCAAACTTGATTAGTTTTAATGATATGGACAGACCGCCAGGTTCCATCCACACCATCTCGATGGCTGGCAATCCACAACCGTGCGGTTCGCGCGAAACTTCCTGCCTCCCACAGCAGCGTTGTGGAATGGTCTGTCCTCGGCGGTATTTCCAAACCGCTACGACTTAGGGTCCTTCAAGAAGCGAGCTTATCACTAGCTCAAAGGCCGGCAACGCATCTGCGGTTCCTCTGGTATTGCTGATGTCCATGGGCGTCGTTGAACATCTCGGTGTTCCCGCTGCTCGTTTCAATTCGGCAATTGTTTCTAATATGTATGACCTTATCATGTTACTCCATTATTTTTGTAAATAATAGTCGTACGATTATTTTAAATAATCATAGAATATGAGGTCACTTGATCAAACAGTTTGGGTGCAAGTAAAGTCTGCAACATTATCGTACGTCATGACGCGTGCTCCTCATTAATGCATAAACTGGCACGTGATAACGCATCTAGTAAAATACTATCATTATTATACATTAAATTGATTTATAGAGCTATTAAATTTAAATCTAGTATTCAAATTGATGGACCCAATTAATTAGTTGTGAACTTATGTGAATTGTTTTTTTTATTCTTTATTCTTATTTATTCTTTAGGATTGTACCAGCCTGTTATCTTTACGAATATCTATAAATAAAACTCCTTGACAAAACATTAACATTCTTTACATTTGGTAAAAATATAAAAATAAAACAAGAAGGTGGCAATGACTTCTGGCATTTGTAATTTGATAACTTTCACTTTAAAATACTTTTAAAAAATACGAAACAGTTTTTGTCTCATTTACTCTCAATTGTTAATCAATAATAAATAATATCAATTCGTCTCTTTCCCTCGTGTTCTTTATTTAAATTGTAACCTTATTGGGGTATGTGATAATGACACATTTACATTCAAAAAGCATTTAACTGTAAAAATGCAATAATCGACATCCGTGAACTAATTCCCTTGTTTAATTTGTAATATAAACATTATTTTGTGTGGGTATTAAAATATTTATTGTTCCACTTAATCATTAGCAAATTTACTATTCACAGTTTACTGGAGCTCTAATAAATTAAATACAAGCAAAACAATGAAATCTCTATGAGATAAGCAATATTTGTAAATAGGTATAATATACGGCAGAGAAAGCCAAGGGAACAACTGCAAACACATTTGAATGCTAAAATTGGTGAATATGGAACCAAAAGTTTTACTTTTTTAAGGCTTTCCTTTGGCGGACCCTGCCAGTATTTTTTTATCTTATTGTTTTTTATTTATGGTTGTTTGGTTTGTTATATGTTAAGCACATTAAATAAAAGTACATTGTATGTATTATATGTTATTTAAAAGGATGAGGCGTGCGAGTGGGAGTCGCCGGTGCCAAGGCGTGCGCCTGCGCTAGCCGCGCGCTCTAAGAGTTTCAGAGATCGTCTAGATCCCCTACTAGGTGAGTTTAATTTATTAATACATATATTCTACTGCTACTAATATACATGTCGAAGTATTAAAAATATGTTATGTTCTCCCAACAGTTAAATTACTCATTAGCTAGTGATATTTCTTATTGGTTAGTAAATGACAAAGGTAAAGGATTGAATATTGTCCTTTCAAACAATGGTTCAATAAACAAAAACTCGTTGTTCAGAAATGAGTAATTCTTACCATAGACAATGATTTTATTATGTATGATGTGCGAATTCTAGTTTTAATTTTAATAGACTATCATTTTCTCAACGGCCAGCACGCTCATATGGAACTAAATATTATAAAGAAAAAGTGTTATTTCCCATTAAAAAGTTTATAAACGTAACATAAATAAATCACTTAATCATAGTTATAGTGTATGTAACTATAACTCATTATCACATAGTAAACATACAAACATCGTAAATCATAAACAGGTGTCTAAATCGTTTGCTCCTTGACAGCAATAAAAATGTAACCAGTAATGAAAATAATTAATAGGCCATGATCCCGTATGTAAACATTGCCGTTTCACACGAGGGCGCTCGGTCACAACGAGCTCGCGTGCATGAGATATTTAATGACTCATTACGAATAATTATGAAATTAATTAACTTTGTAGAGTAGCAACAATGGGACCGCTGCACTGCTTATCAATAACGACTTTAGCTATGCAAATAAATTAACAATAGTTAAAGGGTAAAGGTCTACGCGTGCGGGATGCGGCAATCGTACGCGCGCTCTACTCTCAGTCTCTCCCTGACGCTCGTGCCTGTCGCGTCGCCGTCCCACGTGCAGCTTGATATTGTGTGAATGAGAAATTACCGATTCAAATCGTTCCTGCACGCGGGAAGAAACCGCAAAGTGATCAGTCATGAAGTGGTTCAAAAAGTTGTTCTCAGGAAAGTTCGCGAAGTCGACTGAGGTGAAAAATGAGTCCCCTTTTCAAGTGTGGAAGAAGAATATAAGGAAATTGAGGTTCGAACGTGTACAGAATTCGGAATTGAACGCGCGCCAAATTCTCGATATGGTGATACCATCAGATGAAGAGATATGTGCGGTGACGACTATACAGAATTTTAGTTGTGACGATATCGAGCAATTCGTATCGGAAAGTGATTGGGTAATTGTGACTAAAGAAAAATTTCTAGAGCCGAAGTTTCAGCAGCATTTGGCAAAGAAAGACGCACTGAAGAATCTGTGTAAACAGTCTAGAGAGAATGTTTTAAATAAGAAACGTGTGGAAGTTGTGGCCAAGCCTCCTGCCTGCCACTGCAAGGAATTAAAATCTAAGGAGGACAAAAAACCATCAAAAAACCCATTGCGTCGATTTTTCGAAGCTATTAGAAATATATGTAGACGTTTATGTAGAAAAATTAGGGATTGTTTAAGATTTAGAAGTACTAGAGAAAAAGACGAAATACGAGAACATATCTCTGATGTTATTCATTCGTATGAGTGTAGGTAATGTTTTGTTTTGTATATTTCTTTTAGATATAGCATGTTTTAATGACATATTTTTAAGTACGTATATTTAAAAATGTAGTCTTAAAATATACTTTTATAAGTGATTTATATCTAATTTGGAATAAAGAACCCAAAGAAATAAACAAAGTGAGGCTTAATTATATGTGCAATTTGCGGGGAATCTTTTAGCTGCAGATGTCAGTACAAAAAACTGTTACCTGCTCCCATAACTAAAGTCAGCTTGCAAGCTTTGTCCATTTACGACTTATTTTTTGTTATTGTTTACGAATCAAATTAACATTAGTAATCATTTTGTACCTAATACCAGTTAATGATCTGATAAAGATTGATTTAAAAAGTTATTGTTAAAAATATATTAAATCTGTCCTTAAAATATTTTCATTGTTGTGACTTAATATATTTTTAATATATCTATACTCGTATTACAAACAGTAAAGCGTACTTTTATAGATTAAAACATTCATAAAATTTTCTAACACACAATGATAACAAAATTGACACAAATCAAACAATACAATCGAGCAGCTGCTACCACGCCACGTGCCATCTGCGTGTCCTTCACACCATATGTTTAAATAACTGCACTCAAAGAGCAAATTCAACGCAGGTGATAGACGAATGCAAACGGTTTTATAATTTGCCGCTCAAACTTGACACAATATACTGAAATTTATTTATTTTAATAAATAAATTAATATTTAAAAAAAAATTACGCAACCTTTAAAAAGTTTTTAACCATATTTTAAGTTAATTAGGTTAATTTCTAATCTTAACTATCAGACGTTTAGTTGAAAAGTAATTCAATATTTTGCTCTAACATAATTCATTAAAATTGGTAAGTTAATGTATACGATAAAATGTTTTCTTACGTAGATAATTTACCTTTACATGTTGTTTAATTTATATCTCAGCACACGATCTTAACATAAAGAAACTTATTACGTAGCAAATATTATAAGTAAATCATTAAACCTTGCTACAACTCCATGAGCAAACATAGGTCTTGGAATAAGAAAACAATCTTTGTTTAATTAATTTACAATTCTAATCTTAACTTCTAATGATAACAGGTTTTAAATAACACATGAACACATAAAAAATAAATAAGTGAGCTGTTAAATAATGTAAAGTCAAATGGTTATTGAATATGCATAATTTTTATGGTAATGTACATTATTTGAAGCGCCAATAGTATGGTTAAGAGTACGGGTATCAGATTGCGTTGTCCTGGGTTCGGTTAAGCCCTGATACTAGTAAAAAAATCTTGTAGTTTAGTTGGAATAAAAAATTATTTCTATGCACATGACTTTAAATGTAAATTCTGGGGTGAATGTCACCTGTTCTGGAATTGAGCAAACCCAAAAAACAAGTATGATTTGTAATTTGATGTTCTCCGCTATAAAGATTTTATCGGCATTTTATTTATTTATTATTTACTGTTTTTATAAGTCGGATTTTGTTACCCTGTCGTTCACAAGTAATATCTCTGTTATTTATACTCTTTTAATTTTTAATTGTTTTGATTATATCAAAAATCTTGATTTAATTACAAGTTTCTTCGTGAAAACATTAATAAACGCGTTAAATACTAAGAAGACAAATTGTTTGGTTCACAAAGTTCTCTTCCTTTCTTTATCTTTAATGTTAAACAGCACGATATGCAGCTAACATCCGTAGACCCTCTAGAATAGCACTTTTACTATAAGTAATTTGTTATATATTGCGCGTAATAATAGTCCATTTGTGTTGAAGCAGCGGCGGGGCGAGTGCGAGCATTGCGAGGGGGCCGGGGTGCGAGGGGCGTTGGCGCGGCGCTGCGGGCGTACGCGCTGCACCTTGCACAGGACAAGAGCACCACGTTTGCACAGAACGTCGACAACTTCATAGCTTGCACGCTCGATTCCAAGGAGACTTGCCCACAAGTAATATACTGTTAATTATCATTTCAATTTTGCAAGTTGGCTTGCGATAAATATAACTGGAACGGTCTTTTTATCTGAACTCCTAAATTGCCTCACTTAGAGTCATAGATCTGCGCTAGTTGAATACCTTAATGGCTACTTAAAGGCTTAAACTTATATATATTGCGTTTTCAGGTGATGATGCGAAATATGAGACAGTTCATGTCCGGTATGAAGAACTATCTTGTCAAGCACGGAGAAAGAGAATTTGAAAAGGAGGTGGAGAAAGAAAGACTTAAGGTAAATAATCGTAACAAATGATTGAAAAAAGTGTAACTTCTAAAAAAAGATTTAATGAGTTTAATAATAAATGTTAATGTGTGATAATTGCAGCTAAAACCGACGGAATTCCTGAATCTGGACGCGATCCTGGAGGGCGTGATGCACCGGCTGGTAGTGCGGCCGCTGCGGGGCAAGCTGTACGCGCTGCTGGCCGCCTGGCACGCGCCCGACCTGCGCCGGCTGCACGCCGCCATCGAGCGCGCGCAGCACGCCACGCCGCTGCAACTCGGGGTTAAGGTGCCTTCATCAAGTTCAAAACTAACTTTTCTAAGTTTTTAGTTCCGCAACATAACTTGATTATTACTTTTTTACTTAAAATTTAAGGTATTCTCCAATTAACATTAGATGGCGTTGTTGTTTGATCGCGTTCTTCAACTTTCATTTTTTGTATAAATGGTTATAAGGAATCTTTTTTTTACTTTGTTTAGGAATCTACAAAAGTGCCCTCGGCCGCGGTGCTGGCGGTTATCTCGAAGCATTTCCTCAAAATGCAGGAGGCTGACTCTCCGCTCGACAAACTGGAAAACCTCCTGGCCGCTATATCTGTTATGTTTAACGCGGTACGTATATTGCTAACGCGTTTTTCTTCTCCTTTGTCAATATAATTTTTAAATCGGTCATCGCACAAAATGCGATAATGGACCTGATAATGTATGAACCTCCAATAAAATGTAACGCTTGTTGTGCAGATGCGCGGCGAGAGGGCGCTGGGTGCAGACGACCTGCTGCCGGTGCTGGCGTGGGCGGTGGCGCGCTGTCGGCTGGTGTGCGGCGAGCTGGAGGCCGAGCTGATGGCTGGTCTGCTGCCGCCCGCGCTGCTCGCCGGGGAGGGCGGCTACTACCTAACCGCGCTCTTCTCCGCGCTCGCAGTGCTCAAGCGCCTCGCGCCCGAACAGCCCGCTGACACCTCCGCACCCGTTAGTAGACACACATATCAGTTAACTGAATGAATCAATAGATAGCGCGCTTCACAAAAAATAACGAAAATGACAATATAGGCCAGACTCAGTTGCATAAGTAAATGAAACACTAACAGCTCACTAACGCCCTCTGTTGAAAAATGTCACAAGATTCTCTTTGTTTTGTATCTGTCATGTCATTGTTTTTTTTTTCTTTGTCTAATTAGTTTTTATATATAATCTGACAGAACTAGCCGCGAGCACTGTACCAGATATCCTTGTTTGACTATAGTTGCTGAAGTTGATTATTACGTTTCCAGACAGAAGACGGGCGTGAAGTTAATATTGCATCTGTTTTAAAAATCTTTTTGTATATGTCAGTGCCGGCGGGGCTCGGGGTCTGGTTGCGGCAGTGGGCGCGGGGCGGCGGTGGTGCGCGTGGCGCTGCCGGATGAGTGCCGCGGTTCCATCCGGCGCGTGGCGCTACCGTGCCGGCCCGGCGCGCGCGCTCGCGACCTCTGCCGCGCGCTCGCGCACGCCGCCGCCATCACCAACCCTCAGGACTACGCGCTCTTCGCACTGCACGACGGACAGGGTAACTCACATCTTTATTGAAAACATAACACTAATTTGTCCATCCTAGACACTGAGTTTTAATTTTTTAATAATCAAGAAGTGACGATCTAAAAGTATATTTTTTGGCAGAAACAATGTTGAATGAAAACGACTGCCCGCAAGAGGTGATGTCAGAGAAGAGCGGTCAGAACTTCATCCTAGCCTACAAGAGGATAGATGCCAAGATCGCGTGGCCGCAGCAGGCGTTGCTCTCCTACCCGTAGGCGCATAGGCCCGTAGGCCCATCGCCTCAGAAATCTCCTAGCCTTATCTCAAACAACGTACAATCTCTTAACTTTATATTCATAATAAAATCAAAAATCATTAACGTTCTTATGATGATAAAGTTGTCAAAATATGCTCATTACCAATTAGTAACGGACTTTGAAAACTATATTTTTGTCATCTTAATAAAGTGATATTTTACTACGATATTAGCCGACCGATTTTCATACGTTAACTTTTCTTAAAGTAAACTTAGCTTACCTTATATCTATAAGTACATTGCAATTAGACAGTATTTTTAAAAACCCCGCTGTTGTTATTCGAGCTCCTTGCGTAACTTTTTAATAACGTAGCTTTTTTACCCTGATAGTGTGTAAGTGACCTTTTTATATTACATTTGACTGAGAGATTTTGCATTTTCTCGATCGAAAAAAATCTTTTGTAAATTATTTTTTTTTTTCTTTTATTTCTTAGAGTATTTGCGTGACCGTTTTGAACAATCTTTTCTATTTTAAAACTAAATATTTAGGAGCTGTAGAACCTTTAAAAGGTAATTACCAGGAGTACGTAGGTATTTGTATGTTCCTAAAATTCGAAATGTACCCTGAACCAACTCACCAAATTGTTGTTTTTAATTTAAAGTATATAATTTTAAGTATTGTCTAAAGTTTTTTTAAGTTATATTTCTTTCTCTTTTAATTATAATAATTTTAATCTGTATTCTAATTAACGCTAACTTGTTTATTGAACTGTGATGTAATTCGTATTAGTATCGTAAGTTTTGTATTAATTTTGTATATTCGTAGAGACGATTCTTAATATAATTTATTTAAAAATTTTAATTAAGGTAAATGTATTTGACAGTACAGTCTGATGAATAAATTTTGCCTTACGTCATAACGCTTTTCTAATATAAATGTAGCGTTTTTGTAGAAATTTATTCATCAAAACATAAACAGATATATCAGTCTTACCTGCTGCTCTTAAACTACGCATGTATGTGTTTGGTGCATTACTTTTCATTATTCACAAAAAAAAATTGTCACTACTAAAATAAAACAAAACAGATCTGTCATCTCTCTTTTTCTATCTGGAAAAAGTGAGACAGTATGTTTTGTAATAATGCATCTTTATTATATATATTTAATTTAAATAAAACTTTCCTTAATAAAAGGACTGTTAAATACAAAAAACAGATATTAAAATACGATTGAAACATGCTGCGATTCGTACCCTAATTATTTAACACAAGACAATTGTATTTATGCATATAAAGCCAGCTACACACATTCAGTTTTAACTATACAAACGAACTATGCAGTTAAAACTGAAAGTGCGTAGAAAAAAACTGAGCACTGTACTAAAATAAGGTGCGTAGCTGGCTTTATAGTCTGTTTTAGCTTTTCTATTCTGTCTACATTCCTAAATACTTGAAATGATTATTTTGGCAATGTTACATATCGATAAATGATTTTGTAATTTCTAAATTATCTACTTTTACAAATTGTAAAACTAGTTATCTTTTACGAAGTAGGTCGGACTGATTTTCTGAATATGTATTTTGTAGATACAGTGCCACCATACATTTTTATGAAGTTTGAAGATTTATCTTATATATAAAATTCTCGTGTCACAATTTTCGTTCCCGTACTCCTCTGAAACGGCTTGACCGATTCTCATGAAATTTTGTGAGCATATTGAGTAGGTCTGAGAATCGGCTAACATCTATTTTTAATCCCACGCGGACGGAGTCGCGGGCGACAGCTAGTCTCTTTATAAGGATGTTCAAATTGTAGTTACTTTCTGCTATTACTAATATTAATATATTAAAGTAAACTTATTAATTGCGGCCTAATATTAAGCTTTTAAAAATAGCTAGATTCTTTGATATAGCCTAGTCTTTTTCTCATAATGTTCTCTTTTAATATAATTAGTACTTTTTCCACCGAATCCATTTTAATAATAGATTGTGAGGCTAGAAATGATTTCTTAAAGTTACTAAAAAATTAGAAATGAAGCAACTTGTTTTCATGCGATTAACCGTGAGTTATCAATGCAAAACTATCAAATAAAAATCTCCTTGTATGGATAACATATATTTGTATGGATATTGGATGTGAAAAGACATAATTAAACAGTTGATCACGGAATTTTAATAGTAAATTAAATAGCATTTTACTTAAATTATTCAAACTTTCGTGGGACATTATACTAAACTGATATATAAACACGGCTAAACACTCACGTATATTCGTCCGGTGGCGGCACCGACTAGTTTCGAGCCCATCGGGGTGAGTTCTGAGTGAGCGACGGGCCGCGTCCGCGAAATAATAACAGTACCACTCATCCTGAAGATGGCCCCGATGGGCTCGAAACTAGTCGGTGCCACCACCGGACGAACATACCGTCCGGTGGTGGCCGTAGTGTTTAGCCGTGTTTATATATCAGTTAAGCATTTTACTTACAATCAATATTCAAACTTTAAAGCTTTTAAGATAATAGCGATTACTTTTTAAATTTCGCACTATTTAAAATAATATATTACCAAGCGTAATTTAAAAAGATATTACTACAATAGCTTTAATGAAATGCACAGTTTTGATCGTTATTAATTATCAAATAATTCTCATAATTTATAGTCATTCAAATCGGAAATTTTAATATATTAATTTGTTCAGTAATTAAATATCATTAATGTTAATTGTTTTTAAAATTAAGAACAGTTAACTAGCTGTCAACATAACCCGGTGTATTATGGTGGTACTGTATAGTTATGGTATGTATTTATTGCAATCATGTAATTTAAACTTAGTTATATAACACGTATATTGTGTTTTGATAACATTTTCAGTCATTTGTGAAGAATTAAACGAATTTTTACCAAACGTATTATCGATTTTCTTTTAATATGTTAAACCCATGTTCAATGATATGTGTGAAGTCAATCAACCCGCATTGAGCCAGCGTGGTTGACTATGGCCTAGTCACCCGTGACTTTGGGTAGGATCCGAGCCCCTCAGTGAGGACGTATGGTGAGCAGATGATGATGTTACCCCACTAACCGTTGATTTCTGACACCAAAATCTTTGTGTAAAACATATCGTCATTTCTGTTTTTCATCTTTGGCAAAACAGAGATGACAAACAATTGTTGAAAAATGTTTTAAACGGAGATTTTGGTCTCGGAAAACCACGGTAAGACTAGGTTACATTTTGCATTTTTAGCGCTTTTAAAACCTATAGCATACATTTTTAGATACGAGCTTGATTTTTTTATTTGGCTTATGTACGGATCAGTCAACATTTATGCGATCAATTTTCTCAGATCGCGTTTTCATTTATACAAAATATGTGTATCTCTCTCATACTTTAAAAAAAGATAGAGACGATGATATCTAGAGTAAAAGTTTTGTCAATATTTAGTAATATTGACTAAACTTCTCTTCAAACTAAAAACAAAAGGTAACTATGGAAAGGAACTCACGATCGTAAGTTATCAACTCTGCAAACAAGATAAACTACGTATAAAAATGCAAGCTTGTTACCCAAAGAAATATCCAAGAACTCACTGGGACACGCTAAACGTAGATTATCCCGTGAGAGTTCTCGAACAGAAGGATATTTCGAGTGAATTTATTGCAAGGAAATGGAGACCAGAGCCTGAAGTTTTACAACATAAGACGGTATTAATACTTATTTAACTTTCAGTTATTCTTCGTTTAATTACTTTTTAAAAACGACAAACGAAAGGTTTTGACGATGAACATTTAAAATGGGCTTTTAGCACAGTTAACTTGTAGTTAAAAACAAAAATCGAAAATGCAGAAATCTGTATCAAACCAATTTCAATAAAGGTCAAAAGAGAAATTTCTACAATACATAAGCACGATTTAGGAAATGATGTGCAAAAAAAAAGTTTTTGGTTTAATTTAAATTTCTTTGTACCTATATTTACAGAAAACTGGTGGAGATGTTCAAGAATATCGTGACAATTCTTATAAGGAATGTATGCGGTCACAAACAGCACTCGACTATGGATATAAAATTCCAGAATTTAAAAGATTTAATAAACATACATCGTGTGTTGAGAATGAATACATCTATCCACTTAGTAGACGGGTAAATATATTTTTAATAGACTAATACTACTTATTATAAGACAGAAGAAAATATGAATGGAAGGCGTAAAGAGGAGGAACCTAAGGTGCTAAAAGTAACGAATTCATGCATTAGGGATGATAACCGGTGCCAACTCTACATTGGGAATAGGGCATGGGAAACGCTAGTATACCAAAGCTAAGTTACAAAAACACAAGCACGTTTTGTATAATTGTTCTCTAAAATATTCCAAAACATACAATTTTTTTTGTAACTTCCAATTTTTTGAATTAATTTTTCTTTTCTTTTTTGATTTGAGATTTTAAGTTATGATACCATTTGCCTAAGTACGTGAGGGTCTAAAATATTTTGTTCATAAGAATTTTAATAGGATTATGTAAAAAGAAAGTGTGTTAGAGATAAAATATCACGTAACTTATTGATGACGTAAAAGTAATATATAACTAATCGACTTTTAAATTAATAAACAAGTTTCCAAAAAAGTATTATACAATATTTATTATAATTATTAAATAAATATTTGAAGGTCGAAGATCGTCCACCGGCATGCAAAGTTCACGGAACGACGGAAACGAAAGAATCTTTTTCTACACCACCAAGTTACAGTCGCTTGATAACTGAAAAAGATCAATTTAAACATCCAGTATCTTTAGAAAATAAGCCGGTAAATTAATATTGTACAAAATGAAACTAAAAAAAGATCGTTGCTTTTGAATATAATTATTTTACTTACCTACTTCCAGTTAACAATGGCACCAAGTTGGCATAAAGAATTGGAACAAATGGACACAACTTACGAAGGATTTGAAAAATATTTGGACCCTTATCTCACTACCAATAGGCTACATCATCGGCCGTACACTGCTGATCAATTAAAGAAGACATCTAATTCTAAAGATATTGTTACTTATTATACGTTAGCAGACATTCCTTGGGTATTATAATTATTTTTTAATTAAACATTTTTTTAAGTGACATTTATAATGTTTGTTGTACTGCTTATTCTAGGTATGGTCAAGAAAACCAACACATGACGATTGGTTCGTACGAGTTAAATGTCCCAAGACAACATACGATAGAGAGAAATTTAAAGGAGACTTAAGAGAAATAAGAATTCATAATAAGTTGAATTGGCTTCCAGGGTAACGTAAATATAATAGGATCATGAGTTTTCTTTTGTTTTATTTTTAAAACTAAATGGCAACTGGTTACAATAAAACGCGATTAATGTACGTAAAGACATATCAAAACGATAAGCAAAGCAGTAAAAGCTCATTTATGATTGAATAATCATATTAAGATAACTAAATTGTCATAAATTTTATTTTTTAAATTAAATACAATCAACCGACATTATCTTTTCTTTTAGATCATTCAGAACAGAAGTAAAAGATAACTACAATTTTAGCACACATCAAAAAGATATAAATATGGAAAAACATGACGAAGTTAGCTCCAAATATCAACGTGCTATTGGGAAATTAAAAACCAATTCACCTTATGAAGACGCAATCATGCAAGGAACCTATGTGACGGAAAGTTCTTCTGTAGGATCAAGGAAACCTATTTGCTCAGTTTTCGAACAATGTGTGGATAAAAATAAGCGACTTATAAGTAGATTAGAGAGTAAAAAATAAGTACTTTAATATGTTGATAAATTCTTTACTTTTAATAACAATTAATCCCATACGTTGAAATTGAGAAATATCAAGGTCATTTCTTTCTAAACGTCTTACTTTACAGGATCAAGTTGTCACGAAATATTAAACAATCTATTAAGAAAAACAATGGATTATAATTTTACTGTAACTCTCAAAAACTTTAGCGACCATAAATATGTAATCAAACTTAGCCTTATTTGAAATTATATTGTCTATTGTGTCAATTTTAAAATGTCATGAAATAGCTGACTCTATCAATGTAAATAAATTCATTTTAATATAAACAAAATTAACTACCAAAATCAAAATGTCTCGAGAAATTAAATGGAAATAGTTTACTTTATAATATTTCTCTTGATAATATTCTATGCAATATATCTTATACATCCATACTGGACAATTATTCTTTCTATAGTGATGGCTTACGCACTTTACACGCAAATTTACTCTATATTTTGACTGGTAAGTACCTTTTAAATATATTTTTATTAAGTCACTTACTGTCGCCCGCGAGTCTGTCCGCACGGAATTAAAAAAAAGTTTATAAGAAGCCTATATGTTTTTGCAAGCCTTGTACATCAATGCCAAATTTCATAGAGATCCATGCAGCCGTCCTGTACAAACCTTCAAACAACATCCATCCATCACCTTTCGCTTTTATAATATTTTAGTAAGACTAAGAATTAAGATAGTAGGATATGAAAAGAATACCGGTTAAGTTTAAATATCAGCCGATGTTTAAGTTGTTTGACTGTTGGCAGATGAAAATAAGGAAGCATTATTTTTTTTGCAAAAGGACATCAAAAGATCTGGTTTGTTTTAAAAGTTTTTCTTTTTCACTTTGACTGGTGATTAAAATGAACGGAAAATTTGAATCGTTATATTTATCTCTCAATATATTTTTTATTTATCCGCTATAGTAGCGTTCTCCCGAGCCATTATAGTTATAGAATAATAAAAATATGTAGGCTATAAATTATTGCGTCCATCAGCTATCGTTCCGTAAAAATAAAAATCGATCTAGCCGTTCCGGAGATTTCAAACGTTGCGAACAGACAGACAGACAAAAACTTTAATATTTTTCTTTATAAGCATGTTATTATGTGTACGAAATATGATTTTATTTTTCGATATTACATAAAGATACTCTAATTTTATTAATATTAATATCTATAGATAATTTAGTTATAGCTATTAGGGCTCTACACTCACACAAGCATATTGTAAAACTGTTATTACTGTAGTAGTGTGCGTTAACTACACAAACTATGATATTTGTTGACACAACTGTTTACTGTTTCGCACACAACGGATTGAGACGTTGCACGAAAATGTATTGAGAATCATACCGATATTAAGTTTATTTTATGTGTAGGATGTGTAATTTTATTTTGTTTTGAAAATGGTGAACTTCAATTTTTTTCAAATTTTTATGCTTTTTTGCGCGGGAATACATCTAAGTGTAGGATATGTTCCACAAAAGGTATTTTATTTTATATTATTTATGATATTTTTATAACTTTTATTTGTTATATCTTGTGAAATAAAAAATAATAATAATAACAAAATATAAATGAAATTATATCAAATTATTTTAAAATATCGTACTTCCCCAAAATACATATCACGTTAATTTTTAATTTTTTTTTTAAATTCTGTAACGATTTGGAATTGACACTAAGACCAGCAAAAAAGGTATTCAACGGCAGTTTATCTGTTCATTGGTATCTCATTGTATACTTATATTTAAAAAAATACTACTACTACTACTTTACTAGTGGAGTTTGAAAGAAACGACGTATATTTGCTTAGCTATTGACTATATTTTTATCTTATATGTATTAAATATCAACCAGAATAATTGGTCTTTGGGTATAAATTGGCGACTACAGTGACATAGGTCATATATTTACTAGTATATGCATACGTGAAAATGTTTAAAAACTCTGCACGGAAGCGACCTAAACAATCTTTTAAAACAATGACATCAACATGTTATTCTACTATTGAAATCTAATGATTCGAGCATTGTAGTTGTAAACTATGGTTTTTGAATAGACTTTTATTTGTATTGTATACAAAAATGTTATATTATAACGAGTGTTTAATACAAGTTTCACGTCTAATCGAGAGATTGCAAAACATCATTTTGCATTGTAAATCAACATCAACCTGCCTTTATCCCTACTGAGAGTCGGCGTAGTATGTACTCCTCCATACATCTCTATCAGCCGTCATATCTGAATCTCTTTCTTACGCATATCCTATTTCACACAATCCATCCATACTTTCTTTGGTATTTCGCCACCTCTGTAGCCATCCAATTGTAGCAATTCAATACTTTCTTGTACGATAATATATTTTTTTCAAGGGGTTTTTGTATTATTACAAATAAAATGTGTACTATACAATGTTTCAAGAGTAACATGTGATGTAATCTGATGTAAAGTGGAGTTAAACGTTTAATTTACATGCATACTATTCATATTTTCATCTTGTAAAGAATTCATCGCGTACTGAAAATAATTATATTCAGCACGTTAAAGCAATTTAACGCTACCTGAACGACATCCAAGTATAATAGCCACTGCCCCATAATGTATTTAACACCTCTTCTAAATATTATTCGACTAATAATCGTACAGAATTTTTGTACTCATAAGTAAATTTGACAAAGTTGACAATTATGTTTTACACACTAAACTATTGGTTTCTAAGATCAAAATCTAGGCATTAAAAAAATATCGTCATCCTTGTCACTATCTATAACAAAATCGAGATAACAATATTTTTTGAAAGATAATTTTGGTCTCAGAAACCCACGGTAAATTATTTAATAACCTTGAATGCAAAGATCAAAAATATTATAATCTAAAATTAATTAATGTTATTTTCAATTGGAGAAACAAAAGTGGAATGCAATACGACCTATTTTATGTTTTTTTATGGCTGAAACCTGTTACATTTTCAACTAGCCCTGACCTATATAACAATAATCAAATGTAAAGTCATGTAAAGGCATTTATGACTGCACGGACCTGAGATCCTTGAGCAAGACTTTAATGTACCAGTGAAAGTTGTCCTGCCCCGGCCGGTATACGATTGATTAACCATACATGCTCTACATAAAACATAAACTTCATAAACATTAAATATAAATAAAATTAGAAATATGCTATTGAAATATGTAGAAGCATAACAATGTATAAATTATTCTTCGAGTTAGATTTTATTTAAGCACTAATATTAAAGAAGAATGTAGTTACTCGTATAAAATATGAACTTTATCAAAAACATTTTCCTAAAATAAAAACAAAAACACTTTATATAAATCCCGACTTAATTCTTAATGTATTCTTTCTCGGAATGTCAATATCGCTTGTTATTTTATCGGGTTTATTGATTTTAAAAATTAACAATAGAAAAAATTCTTGCCTGTTTTCAGCATCTTCTGACTGTGTATTACGAGAGCAAGTGTCCGGACAGCAAGAAGTTTGTGCTGGAACAGCTGCAACCGGCCATCGAATTACTGCACAGATATGTCAAACTCAGACTTATACCGTTCGGAAAGTCTAGGGTAAATAGCTTTATACTGTGATGCCATAAATAATTTCAATACATTTGTATGAAAGGTGTTACTAAAATTACTCAATCGCCTTCTTAACAATAGATCATTTGCAATCTGTAAATCAGTTAAATTTGAACCTAATACATTAAAAAAAAATAGCAAAGATCGAATACTAATTTCGGCTCCTGGACTTTCAGGATTTAATAACAAAATATTTTAACTTAATATACATATACTATAACTAACATTTAATATTTCAGAGTATAAACTACGGCGACGATGGTTTCGAATGCCAGCACGGACCGGAGGAGTGCCTCGGCAATATAGTGCAGGAGTGCGCGCTGAGACACATGCGAGGCCACAGCGACATACAACGGGTCACCTACGTCGTCTGTGAGATGGCCTCAGAGTCCGGTGCTCACGCTAGTCTAGGTGTAAGTATCTAAATAATTGCTTAAAATCAATAACCCTATGACACTTCATTATTCAACGTACAAAATCTATAAACATGTACATAAATATTTTTTTCCAAAGAATTTGAAATCATTATCATCTCCTTTTTGTGTACTACAGATAGACTATCAATTATTTAAACACTAACAAATAAACTTTCCATGACCTAAGTAAAAACACAAGACTTTGTAAACAAATTTCGACTGAAATCTTTGACGAAACATCGACTTGATAACTTTGTTCTATCACCAATCCAAGTTAGAACGGTGTTTGGAGATGATTTTAATATTACCGTGATGAATACTTGCAGTGTGTGAAGCACGCCGGGCTGTCGGTGAGCGATGTGGAGGGCTGCGTGCTGGCGGGTGAGGGAGTGGCGCTACAGTTGGACTCCGAGTACCACACTGACAAGCTGAAGCCAAAGTTCATACCCACAGTTACTCTCGATGGGGTAATTATGTAATATTTGATATTTTATGTAAAGAAAAGGTACCTGTGTTATATTTTTAAACATTACTCTGGTATATTAGTTATTGTAGTAGATATACTAAGGAATTACGACTGTTATTTAGCTTATTTCAAATGTTAAGTATATAATTTATACAACAAGATGTGTAAACTTTTTAATTTCGGTTTTTTTGAAAAACAGAATAAAAAATAAACATAAGTAAATACTGACATTGTGATCCAGAAGTGATTTTTGTTTACTTAACACTTATACCTTGAAGTTCTCGTAATGTTAGTATTATTAAGAATGTTTATTTTTCAGGTATTTAATCAAGACTTTCAAGATGCTGCAATGACTGATCTGATTGGAACTTTATGCGCCACTCTCCGAGAGGCGGCGCCGTGTGCGCGGTATTACAACAACCGCGCCTGGGAATATATCTTTTATAATTCTACCTGAAATATACGCTTTTTATTTTCATTCAGTATTTTTATGTTCATTTTACAAATACCCACCGATGTACCTTAATGCGATTGTGTTTACGCTACGCCACTAGATGCCGCTGTTTTAAATTCATTCAATATATGGTTTTGGTTCGAACCATATATAAACCTGTTATCTTTTATTTATAACACAAACAAAAGAAAAATGTTTCTTTACAATTGCGTGATTTTAACACAAATAATATCCTTTTCTTCATGTTTCTACAATATTTAATAAACAACTAAATTCACAATTGTATTTTAATACGACAAAATCATGAGGGAGAGTTTTCTACGATCCAATGGAAGTAGTGCGCGATGTTTGTGTACACGCTGGGTACGCCCTCACTGCCGCAGTTTTCTGAACCGAACGATACGATGCCGATCTAAAATAAAAACAAAAAAATATAAAGAAAACCAGGACATTATGACAAGAGATTGAAAGTAGATGAATGTAAACCAAATCGCACTGGCCTAGCGCGATTGGAAGGTTGAGGCCATTTGCTTGTGATTTATGACACATTCTTTATACGAATATAATTAGAAATGTTTTCGACCAAACCAAAGTTGTATAACCATAAGTTAGAGTCAAAGATGAGAATAATTTTGTTTTCTATGTCTTAACTGATACGATCGCATTTTAATTCGTCGACTAACAGAATTGTTGACCCTTGTCATGTCAGAAACGGATCTCTAACGGTATATTTACCTTGTCTACATGTTACCTGTAAGTACTGTCCATCCCTATTGATCAGTAAGGGCGCTCCTCCGAAGCCAGAACATGCGTCTCTGCCCTCCTCCCCTCCCGCGCACAGCTGTCCCTCGTGCACCGGCACTGATTCCCCGAAGATGCTCTCACACGTCTCCAGTGGGACCAATGGCACTTCTAGTTGCTGTTGTTTACCCACCTATAGATGTTAAATAATGTCATTTTCACTAAGAAAATAATCATTTCCGCACTAAAATTTGAAGTTGATCCTATCTTCTTAGTCTTTTTGTGAGCATGTGTTTATGTTTGTAAGTACTTTAAATGGAACAACCTCTAGCCTTAAAAAAATAATCAATCTCGAAGTATGAAGTGTCCTTCGATTCGTATTCTTCCTAGGAGTGTCATAAGTATGTTATATACAATTAGTTTGACTCGGATGCTTGCAATACTGAATAAAACTGACTAAAGTAGAACTTGCTAAAGAACCATTGTATAAATAAACAATAATTGTATAATTATTGTATTGTGTAATCGGTGTGTATAATGAAGAATAAAGAAAGAAAAGAAAATATAGTAATATAGTTCGTTATGATGGGACAGTGAAATCTGTCATATCGTGCCTATAATTTGGTGAAGTGTGCAAAAACATACCATGTTGGTCTGTCCGGATAATTTTCCCCATCCGACGAGCGTTGCTCGTTCATTTATAACTATTTCCGGTTTACCATTCAGGCAGAGCGGAGCCGCTGTCACTGAAAAAAATGAATAATTAGCATCGAGATTAGACACACTGATTTAAACCAATTCAAGGTCATTTGATGACCTTAATGAGCTAAAGTTGCTATTAGTATTATTTATAAACTTTATATAGAAGTTTGACGATTGACGTTCTAAAAAATTGGGATTTCATAATGTTACTATGGTCTTTTCGGAAACGAAACAAACACAGAAACATTTCACAGACCTGAATACTTGATATCATCTTTGAGTACGATGAGTGCGATGTCGTGACGGAATATCTTCTGCTCGTAACCGGGGTGCACGACCACGTTTTCGACCTTTAGGGCCTGTGTTACAGGTGCACAGAAGTACTCGTTACAATCCGGACTGCGCGTAGTATCCCACTCGCCAACCACCACCGTTGATCTAGGTGTTTAAAAAATTACACTGGACAAACAGTTGTTAAGTCTAATTTTCTCATACTAATTACGCTGAGAAGCAACATTAGTGACCACTTAAGAGAGCGACAACTCTTCAAAGTTGGACTCTTAACTCTTCATACTTTAAGATTACTCACAATTTGTATCCCTCAGGTTTAGCCAGTGCGCAATGGGCGGCGGTCAATACAACTCTCTTGGCTATGATTGAACCGCTGCATGCGAATCTCACTGTTCCAGTATCTTTATCTGAAATAAAAAAAAAACTCTAACACTACTGATATAGACTTTAATTAGTTACAAGGTTTTGATCAAATGTCCATTTCATGTAAAAACTCTGAAATTTTTTAAGTCCAACACTCTTATAAATAAAAGTGTTAAATTATATGCAACCTTATCATGAATTTAGATGTTATATTGATACCGACTGGTGAATCCAATCCTAGCGACCCAGGGATGCAGACCGATGCCTTTGTAGTCGTTGGCTCGGACCATGCTGCGTCCGCACTCCGCCGTGTTGGGGGGATGAACGCGCGCGCACTCGCAAGCCGGGCAGCAAACGAGGTCCTCTTCATTGTTATTGCCGCAAGTCAGCGAATTCAGACGGTGGAAGTATCTGGTAATTAGAAAACAGTTTTACAATAAAATAAAAAAAAATACACAAGGTGCTTGAGAACCTCCTAGTTTTGAAAGTCAGTTATAACACTACAATACTTCATTTATAAAAAAAAATTGCTCATTTAACACTTACTTATCTGAGGAAAAGCAAGAGAAATCCATGAGGTCCTCTAATAGCGGACATGAGCTGATTGGAACGCAAGAAGTGTTCGGTGGACATCGACCCTACAAATATTATATTTTAAAAACATTAACATTCTTAATTAACATAAAGTTCACCTCAAGAATGACGTAATAACGTTTCATGTCACTCACTTTGAAATTTAAAGCTTCCTCTTCGGCACGTCCCATGTCCAAACTGATTGATACAGCTAAAAAAGAAAACAAAAATTATATTAACTCCAAAACAATTTAAAATTCTATGATTATTTAGGAAGAATCTCCTAAAGAAAAGTCTGAAGACACAGATGTAAGTCGTGTAAAAATAAAGGAAAAATCGAATAAAGACCAAACACTTTAATTAGTATTAAGAATAGTATTACATAGTTCATGAAATATGAAAGTAAATAAACGTTTAAAAATAATGAGACATGTACGGAATTTTAAATACTTTTTACTACATTATTGAATTTTAATTTTCAAAGCATCGCAAATTGTAGTGGACCACAATGTCGTGTTTGATTGTAATTTGTAATGACCTCGAAATTAGATAAAATCAGTTCGTCAGCAAGGCCACTGCTGTCTGTTATTGTATCATCGTTGCGATCACCGATTAAACCTAGATGCACATTGTATAATTTTCATGTCAAGCTCTCATTATTAAAGCCTTTATGTCTACCAATGTATACATACTTTCAAGGACTTTTTGTGATAGAACAAATTATTTATGTTCATATTCCTAAATTCTGTTGCATAATTCCATTATCATTTTTCCCTAACTTTAAAGTGGTGGTCAACTTCATCGTTGATATAGCAAAAATGGCAATCAAGAATTTTAATTGCAGTTATCTCAAAATACAAAAGAATGTACAAAGGAATGCAATCAAGATTAAAATCTTATAAATGCGAAACCTTAGACAGATGGATGGATGGATGTTTGTTTGAAGGTATCACCGGAACGCCTCGTCGGATCTTGATGAAATCTGGCACACACGTAGAAAATAGTCTTACATAAAGCACTATTAAGTTATTGAGTTTTTTTTTTCATATCGCGCGAACAAAGTCCCGGTCGATAGCTAGTAATTACACAAAAACTTACTTCCAAATTGAGCATCAACAGTCCACCAAACAAATACAATCCACAATAACACCGTACACAAAGTCATTTTATTTATTTTTTATTTTAATTTTCACACTATTTAATCACAAATCATTATCAGATTTTTAGGATGAAATTAACTGAAATATTTGAACTTCACAATCCCATTTTGTAGAAATATTGCGCGTGCGCCGGCACTGGTATCAAGAGTGATACAACACAAAGCCTTTGCGCACACCGTCGTAATCCAGGGATCATAAACATAAAAGGACGACTTTTTGAATTTCCTCCTCGTTACTTTATTTAGTTATAATCAGAATATTATGAGGTACTTTAAAACAAGATCAGTGACTTTTATACAACCATGTAAAATTGTCCTAAGCCAAAAGGTATTTAAATGTCAACGTAGGTAGATATAAAATAGATGAAAAATTTTACATAACTAATCGTCAACTAATTCACATTTGACAAAATTAATTTTATTCTTAATTGTGATTGTTCATTAAAATTATAATAGTCAATTATTCTCGTAGAACTCGGGTACAAATGGTTTGTAATCTCTGGATCAATGTGAATTAACTGGAAAAAATGTGGCGTTTCATTTATTCAGGTATTTACAATCGCTTCAGTAACATCCCGCGGGAAAGTACTTTAACAGGCAAATTATTTTTTGAAATAAACATTTCATTTTAATGGTAATTTCCTCTGATTCTATTTTTAAATTATTTTTTTTAATTGACTATCTTTACAATAAATTCCTTTTTCATTAACTTCATATAAATTAATAATTTTAAGGAAACAGTCACCAAAAAGGTCAGATTTACTGATTATATTGTGATAAATATTTTTATAACTACTAATGTAAGTCAAAGCATTTAAAACTTAAATAACTTTTATATTTCTAACAGCATCTGCTGTTGACTGTACTTCATTCGGAACACAATAACATCAATTTATTTTTTCTAATATCATACGTTCAGTTACAAACTTATTTAAATTCTGTTTCACTATTAGGGGATTACTGTCTTCTGCCCGTTTGCTTCAACTGTCTTATCGATCCAATCACTTTTTAAGATAGACAAAAAGTGTAATTGCATGTTAAAATATTACGTTAATTTAAAAATCGAGAAATTAACAAGTTTGCTACCATCAATTGAAATATGAAAAAAGATCTAGAATCGGAGTTCCTCCTTTTGTCTTTTATTATTAGTTTGAAAAAGCCTAAAAAAGGGGACCTTAAAGGTCTGTGAGTTATCACAAATTAGCATCATAAGAAATATTTTAATTAATTTGTAATTAATTTGATACCTTTTTACAGATTGACCGATAGACATGCAAAAAAAAGTGCGGCGCGTCAGATTCAACGCGGGCCAAACGAACCATGTCCGTCTAATCGTTGTGAAAATCTCTTTTTTTATTGTTATTCCTTTGTTACGCGAGCTTTTTGTCCGGTCTGATGTCATTCACATCACTTGCCGGTAGCGGTCTCACTATCTTAAATGCCACAATTTATTATGTGGCAGCTATAAATAACATACGATCCATTTATTATTGGAAAAATATGAATTTTGTAGTTTAATTTTCATTCGTGTAAACGCTTCCACTACTATGTTGCATGTATTTTAACATGTATTTCTAATGCACGTTAAATACTTACAAGGGATTGGAAATCTATCACATACATATTATATAATCAGATTTAAATCTATACCACACATACTATGGATATATAGTATATCCGTACTAAATTTCAACACGCCTTAGCGCACCGTGAAAAAGTAATTAAACTCGAAGATAAGTTCAAGACAAAATAGTTCTGGTCTAAATCAATAATGTAAGTTTTTGTAAAAAGTAATAAAAATGTTATCCAAATTCGCGCCTCCAGTGACCTAAACATGTAATACAGTAAAAAAATACTATGTTTAACCGTATTGATGGGACCACAAGGATAAACTTCCTTATAGAGAATGAATATTTCAATAGGCACAAAGAATTCTTTACAATGTAACACAAAGTTCTATCTAGAGTAATAATAACTGCTTTAGAAACGAAATTAAAAAGAAAATGACAATAAGAAAATGACAAATGGGTTTCAAACAATCAAATAATTTTATGTGGCGTCAAAACAGCACCATGTAAAGAAATTACTGCAAATAATTGTTTTTTCTGTACATTACACCATCTAATGCTTTTAACATGTCGCTACTGACATTTTTGCCTTTCCTTGCTAAATAACATAACAATAATAAACACATCAATATGGATCCAGTAAGACCAAACTATAACAATATGAAAGAAGATATCAGCTCCAGCCAAGCTCAACACACTAAAACGGTACCACACAGCCGCTCCGAACAAAAACCTTATTGCACCTATATGTGCCAAATGAATCGTGTCAAGCCATCTTCAAACCAGGAGAGAGTATTTAAAGGTTGCTGCGTTAGACCTTCCCGCGAACTTATTGAACAAGTATGTATGACAATATAATTCACACAAGATATAAATTTCGATATTTCAGCTGATGTTTAATAACTGAAAAAAGTTTTATCCAAGCCAAGAGAGAAGAGAAAAAAAATATCCTCCAAAGGCATGTGTCCATTGTCTCGCGCCGGACGCACCGCACGCACGGATTAAACGAATTTGCTTAGTATTTTGATGCGGCCGGCGAAGATGATGGACGCAGCGATGTCAAATCATACAAAACAAACTAAAATCCCTTGCGTGCGGTGCGTCCGCATGCAGGCCTTTATGTCCACTCAATCCTCATTCATTTCATCGTCTTTACCTTCTTTTCCGCCCAACTTTTTTCCAGATTCAAAGAAATACGAAAGATCAGATTATCAAAACAATTTGTAGGAGAGTCCATACACATTTAAAATCAATTACATTTCAGGTAATGGAGGATGAACCAAAACTCGTTGAAAGAACTCAAGGCTTATGCGATAATTTAAATACACATACAAGTACGGAATGCCATAGAGAGGCAGATTTATCAACAGGATACGTAAGAATTTGAACACTATATTACAAAGAAGTAACCTTTTTTAATAATTTTATATATTTCATTAACACTACATTTTAAGGCTTCAACAACGACATTGGAAAATAGCGAATTCTCCGACGAAACAACTACGGACGAAGGCGACAATCCAAATTTATTGCATTTGACAAAAATGAAATGGCTCACTGATAGTCAAACAGACTCCACCGATTCCAGGTGTGTAAAATTAACAATCCAAATTACTGTCATACGTACAACAAATACAGGTCTAGTATCGTTCCAGAGTTGTTAACGCGTTAACAGGAGCGAAGGTAAGGATTAACAGGAAACGACATCGTGATGATTTCAAGAGACTTTGAAGGTACACGTTATTTGAGTCAAATTTTTCTATGCAAGGAAACGTGTTTGTTTTAGGAATATAAATACTAGGAAACCTGTTTGTTGTAGATCGAGTACATCAACTATTTCTCGAAGCGTGTCTTTTGCCGTCCCTGAATCGAGTGATTCTGACAGCGATATGAAGGGCTGCGTCAGCTTTGGAGAGAAGTGTCTCTCGACGATCTTACGATTGGACAAGGAGCACAATATGTTTGGTTTGTCCAATATTACCGTCGTCAATTCTAAAATGCTGAAGAGGTATCGTAAAGACGATAAGGACCCAGCTTTTCCCCAAACAACTATCATACAACTGCTTTGCTGCGAGAAAAAATGCTGTCACAAGGTATACATTATTGTGAAATAATTTCATACACAAGTAAGAAAACATAACGTAAATATTAAAAACTTATCAACTAAAATTTTACGTTTGGGTTGTCGTATAATTTAAATTTATTTAAACCACTATAAGCAAGGTTATGATGACAATTCTAATACGTTGTAAATAGTAGTAATACTAAGAACCCTAAAAGATTTAACCAGAAATTATACTATAGAGCTTGTCCTAAAATCTTTTATTTTTTCAGAGCAACACCGATTTGCCGATGTCGCTCAAGGTATAATATTATTTTAACACATAAAAGTAATTCTTTGGAACTTGGATGTCTTGAAATGATATATGTTCCTATAATTTATTTGTCGTAGTGCGGGAGGTGTTACAGCTGTACCGATCCATTTTGTTCATCATGCAAGTCGTGTGGAGTAGTGTGCTCACTGCCCTGCGCATTGCCGTGTGTAGTATCTGCGCGCTCCAGCAGAGCTATACCCTGCCCTAAACCGAGTATAAGAATAACGCCTTGCGGGACACCTTGCGGCCGACGATGCAGAAGTCCATGCATTTCACCATGCAGAAGTCCATGCTCCCCTCCATGCAGAAGCCCGTGCAGAAGTCCATGCAGAAGCCCATGCAGATATCCATGCGTTAAACAGCCCAAAATACCGTTCCTTAAGCCAACACCTTGCGAAATACCTTGTGGAACGTGCTGTGTAAGGTTTCAAATTCTTATAGTAGGTTTCTGAGACCAAAATATCTGTATGAAACACATCGTCATCTCAATCTTTCATCTTTGAAGAAACAGATATAACAATATGTGTTAAATAAGCATTTCGGTCTCAGAAACCCACGGTTAGTCCAATAATCTTGTCACCAATTTTAGACATTTCTTTAGAAATCATGAGCTTGATAAACTACAAATATATTGTTTTAAAAGCAACCAAAATCTTAAATATTTTGAAAAATTACCAATTATATTCCTTTTGTTTTAGGACAATCCACCATGCGTAATTTGCGTAAGTCATTTTGATAATAATAAAATTCTTTACTAATTTTGTTTTATTGACTACAAATATATTAAAATTATTATTTTTTTAGTGCATCAAGGGCAAAATAAAATGTAAGGTAAGGTACTTATGCATTTGTGATCAGTTTTTTTTTAATTTGACAGAATTCTTAGTAATCGTCATTTTTATCTTTATAGAAAGTGCCCTGTGCGAAACCAAGATGCTTGATGGATTGTAATACTCGATACGGCATGAAGGTAACGCTTTTTGCATTTAAAATAAATACTTAAAAAGTTCAATCTTTAAGCTAATATTTCAAATAATTTCAATACAGATCTCATTGAAACGGAAGCCGACGTTTGAACCGTCTCCAGTGAGTACTTTTAATTTATTTTAAAATATGTGTGTCCAAAAATTTACCTTCATACATACATCTGAAATAGAATTTTCAATATACAAAACCAAATACAAACTCACACAAATTACAAGAACAATGCGAAACACGTATTTAATATGTTATATTACAACTAACTGCAATATAAATTAATTCATTTAATAAAGCAAATAATTATATAGCTATTTAACAATTTTAACAGGTCGAGATAACGCCAAGGTCCAGTTGTATTTTAAAGAAGGCAAGTATTAAAATGACAGTATTTTGTTTTTACTTTGTAAACCTGATTTTGTCAGGTGATAGGATGAGTTCTGGAATGTACTCCTTCCCGGACCAAAAAAAGAAAATTGGTGCGCCTTTCTTAAAATGTATATAATAAATATATTATATGTAGATAATAAATACAGGATTATTATCTTACCAGCCCGTAGCTGCTAGGTCCTGCCATCATTTGCCGCGGTGTTCACCACCATCGTCTTGCTTCCCGTACCTAATGCCTTGTTTCTGGCCACCTCGGGCGAGCGCGCCATGCAACAATCCTTCTCGATGCTTCCACAACCCGCCCTGTCTTCCGCCACGGAGGAGGAAGTCACCAATACCTTCGCAGTATTCATGTCCCCACGTAAGTAATCAAATCCATTCATCTTCATGTAAACACTATTAGGTTTTATTGGATGGCAAAGGCAAACTAGCTTACGCCAGGTTAAAACCTTCGTGCTAAGTTTAACTTGTTAAATTCTCCTATACTGAACCCTCACTAAACAGTTAGAGTGGAAGGGATGGTTTAGACTTCTGATTTTAAACGTATAACTCAATGATCGTTAGACCTTTGTTTTTTTTTCAGGATAAGAAGTGTCTGGATGGAAAAAAAGACTCGACATGTCCTAACCCGACGTGTCCTGGGGTAAAAGAAATTAATGTGGTTGAATTGCAATATTAAATTATTATTTAATGCATAATAATACTGATTAATAATATTTCAGAAAAACGAAACATTCAAAGCGGAGATAGAAAAAAGATTTGGTAAAGACAAATAAAGAGTAATGGCCGACTCCAAGAATCCTAAGAATTCAAAGAACCCGAAGAATCTACATTGCTCTTGTTCGTGTGAAAAGGTTAGACTAATTAAGCTGTGAGTTTATCTCCTAACAAATGTATATAAAAACATACTGATCCTCACAACAAAATTGAGATATGTTTTTCTTTGGTTACTTCGTAGTAAGAACACATACTTTATAAAAAAATACGATAAAATATATATGGTTAAATTATGGTACCTATTTTTTTACAGAAAGTTGATACTCCATGCGACGAATACATATTCTACCCAAACATTAAGAGAAAAGCCGTCAGTACTTTGCGCATATATTATTTCTTTTTTATTAATAATTACTTTGTTACTTATTTTCTTTTTATTTTATTTAGAAAAAGAAGCCGATTAAATGTGAGTGCTCATCTCCAGGATGTTCCAGTTGCTTTGTCTCAAAACCAAAGGTAAATTTTACATTTCTTGAAATAAAATGACGAAAACGACGTGACCATTCTTATAGTATAAAGGCAAAGTAAAATGCCCTTGTGGCAAGTCCGCTAATGGATGTAGGCATGCATAAAATGCGATTTATGGAAAGAAGGTTTAATTTTTTATGCTACAAGAAATATTTTTTATATTTTTCGCCTATTTTTTTTTGTTTCAGACTACACTAATACCAATGAAGCCACAATAGAAATAAATGAGAAAAAGGAAAAAAATGTATAGCGACCTGTTAAAGGCAAGACAATGTTTGTCAATCATAATCTCAATTTGTAATCAAAATTGTCAGTAAACCAAAAAAAATGCAATATAACATTCCAAAAGTCCAATGAAGTAATTTTCATTTCACTAGTATATAATCGAATCCGAGAAACGACAACCTACAAGTATCCTATTCCTACGTGGTTAAGAAACAAAAACATGCCTCAAACAACACAACTCACAAAATAAAACAAAATCAATATTTAAAACGAGCTGTTTACTAAAAGTTATACTTTACCAGCCTCTAGAAACGCTAAACCTTTGTTTGCAAAGCTTATGGGGTGTCATGTCGTGGATCAGTTGGTCTATGACAATGCAAGGCTTAGTGCCCTGAGAGATATGACAATAGTCGCTGCAATACATGAACGGGGCAATGTTCGTCTGGTAAGGATTCGGAGGGTACGGAGCCAGGAAGTATTCCTCTCCATGACTCCAAGACGCGAGTTCAGACGCGAACGGTGGCGTGAATTGCTTCTTTGTTTCTGACTGAAATACCCTGAGATAGTAAAAAGTTACATTTTTGATAATTTTGTAAATGGAACATAATATATTATAATAGTACAGTCAGCGTCATATAGATCGTCACAGACAAGATATGCAAATATATAGGTACACCAAAAGTATTCAATTATATCGGTACAACAAAAGTCCTCAAAATAATAGATACATTCACCCTGCTCAAATACATCGGTACATACACAGCGTCAAATATATGAGTACATGCAAGATGCTCATAAATATCGTAGCAGCCACAGCGTCATTTGACAAAATTGAACTCTATCTCTATATACTTGTGATACAATTTGGAATAAACTACTTCTGTTACATTCATTTGACACTTTGCATCAAACCATTTTTCAAAATTTACTAAAAGTGTTCGACGCGGATGACAGATATTAGGTAGATAAAATCAACATCAAATTTAAGTTTGTCATCATATATGCTAGTTTGGTCTCGTGGCCTTACCGTTCGCCGCCGTTGGTACGTAAGGTCGGCGGTTCAAATCCCAAGCCACTATTTTTTTTTTGATATTTAAACTTTTTAATTTTAATATCGAAGCACATGTAATTAAATTCTATCGCCGTAGTTATTAGGTACTTTTTGATATTGCCTTGGACTAATGAGTTTGACCGTTAAAGTACTTTTCTATTTCAAACAAAAATGAAGGAGATAAAGCGATGCTATTGGCATGTAATTTGTTTATTACTCATGTTTGTTAAACTTGTACCGGTAAAAATAACACTTTTACTTTTACCTTTTACTGATACTGATTATATTTAAGAAACAAAGAAAAAAAAACTGAATGTCAATATCCAAACTACATCAAATTTTTGGTCGATTGCAATAAACATTCCAGTGTTCGTGGGCGCGCACACATATGTAGATAACACTTGTACGTATAGTTTCCGCGCGTACCATTCTTAAAACCCGCAAAGACAATCCACGCTCCGCCCACTCACTTCACCCGCGATGGTCTGACCTAATTGTTGTTAACTTTATTTAAATTTCTTTCTACCCGACAGCGAAAATTATAAAAAAAATTGTCGAGCAAAATTTTACATTACCAAATTTTTACTGGTTATGAAAAAATAACCCCGTGATTGATAAAATGAAAAAAAAGTAGCCTGAGATTCGAACCGGTAAACTTACATATTACGGCAAACATACTAGAATACTGCGCCAATCTAGTATTATATATATTGTGACAAGGCAAAATTTGATATTAGTTAATACGTATCTGTCATATTCGGCGTGACAAACTTTTATATTTAAGCGTTATAACAGGAGAAGAAAAATATTGGGTTGCCCAGTAAGTTCGTGCCGCTTTATAAGGAAAATTGAAACCCTGTTCTCTTAAATTTTTGGAAATGTTTTTATATTTTATTGGTACGACTCTATATCTAAAACGTCTTTTATTATTGGATAAAATTTTAAAAATTAGTTTTTATCTCAACCAATGAAATGAAATTATTCACAATATAGAAATTTTTGTGACGTTTGATAATGGTGGAAATCCGAAAATGAATTCACTTCAGCTACAGTCTATTGTAAGCTTTATATCGAAAATCAGAACGAACTTTCCGGACAACCTATAATGTTAATACAAAGTGTCAAATGAATGTAACAGAAGTAGTTTATTCTAAATTGTATCACAAGTATATAGAGATAGAGTTCAATTTTGTCAAATGTACCGATATTTTTGCGCACCTTGACTGCTTCGTTACTTATGACGCTGTGGCTGCTACGATATTTATGAGCATCTTGCATGTACTCATATATTTGACGCTGTGTATGTACCGATGTATTTGAGCAGGGTGAATGTATCTATTATTTTGAGGACTTTTGTTGTACCGATATAATTGAATACTTTTGGTGTACCTATATATTTGCATATCTTGTCTGTGACGATCTATATGACGCTGACTGTACATTTATGATTCAAGAACATCTAGTGAATATATAAGTACTAGCTGTTTCTCGCGACTTCGTCTGCACAAAATTAAAAAAGGGTCTTGACAGACAGAGGACGGACAACAAAGTGATCCTATAAGGGTTCCTTTTTTCCTATGAGGCACGGAACCCTAAAAAAACCTGAATTATCCTATATGTTCTGAAACTATGTTCTACATGTATGTCAAATTTAATCAACATCCGTTGAGCCGTTCCGCAGAAGAAACATCCATCCATCCGTATAAACTTTCACATTTATAATAAGAAGTATTTTGCATTCTTATTCTCACCCTTTGAGGTTATTGACTGGATTGTGGCAAGCTGCGACTTCGTGGTACTCTTTTTTGACGTGACTCCTATCGTAAACAGCTCTGTGAACTTTAGCCTCTAATGGCATCCATATCTCTTTATACTTCGGACCGAATCCTCGAACCTAGATGGATAAGAATTAAGCTTATAATCTTAGTATTAATCGGGGAATACCAATCCAAAAAATAAGGAGCCAGCCAAGTTTCATAAGATCTAAATTATTAACAGATACTTAAGAAATTAACGGAACAGTTTACGGAAGACGGTTGGAAAGTCGATAACATTACTTTGGGAGTATTAGACTCTGTGTAGAAAGTGATATGGTCCTTAGCGCCGATCCCGTACTGGTCGTCCGGTGTATACAGCCGATGTTTCTCGCGGTAGGTGGTCACATACGGGTCGAGCAGACGACGAAACCCACCAGCGGTCTCCGGTATCACTGGTGCTTCGCTCCTACCAGAGGCAACCACCTGGAACCAAATTAGAATACAATTTAGATTCCTTGATTCCTTGTGAGTCTTTAAATTTTGATGATGAATGATGCTTACGTCAAAAATGTATTCAGGATCGGGAGCTTTGACTTCAATTTCGGGAGGCGCTAGTGGCGACTTCCTGAGGCCTCTGTAATTATCCTTCATCTCTGATATCAATCTTGGTTGAACGATATTCTTGCTTTGGAGCTGAAAACGTTTACAATGTAATAGAGCGAACAATAAAAAATTACAGATGTTATTTCACATTGAATAATAGTTAACACTTACTCGTTTCTCAACACCAGTCATGTAAATGACTCTCTTACAATTACATGCACAGTCCGACCTTTCCATAGCTTTGTTAGGATTTGGCTTAACGCAGTATTCGCCGGTGGTGGTCTTGTAGGACTCTTTCTCCACCACCATATCGCGGCCGGTAACGCGCTTAGGAAGAGGGTCATGGATTTTCTACAAAGAAAACAAATTTTGCTTGTTATACATTGTATAAAATTAATAATGTGCCAGCAAATGCCTATTAATGGACGTAGGCCTTCCCTTGGATTCAGACATATTGACCATAACGTGGTGTATTAAGTAAAAATCGTACCAATACCATACGAGTATATATTTACCAACAAAGAAGTGGCCTGTGATCAGCTGAGTTTCCATTTTTTCAGTAGACTACGGCGGTATATTTCGGGTTCAATATGTCAATAATAGAACTTACACAGTCAAAGTTATGTGGTATATCTGGGATATGCCGTAAGGCAATATTGGTACCAGTTCGAGTCTCATTACTAGTCAATCTCAGTGGTATATTATATTGTACATTTCCCCATGTGTTGACATTTTGTATAAGCAGCTCATTCAAAACCAATGGCTTACATGGCTTCGTTTTAGCCATTATAAAATTAAATTAAAATATACGAGTTCTAAAAAATATTGTCGATTTTGATGTATGGTTATTTGACGTTGTCATTGTTACAGTTAACCCACAGAAAATATATTTTTTTTAAAATTTGACTATTAAAACTTATATTATCTGTGACATAATTAAAAAAAACAGTGAATTACAATTCTCCAAATCTTTATGTTCGTTCCAATGTAGCCTTTCGTATAATACGCTAAATATATTTTATGCCTTCTGTTCTGTTTTTTTTATAGTATAAGATGGCAAACGAGCGAGCGGCCACCTGAAATCGCTGGAATAGCGAAGTGACCGTTGCCCATAGACATACGCAATTGCATGTGCGTTGCCTACCTTTAATCGACGGAAGAGAGGATGCACAGAAATAAAAAATAATTTCTCTGCATCCTCTCATCCGAAAAGTCCACTTCCACTCCCCATCTTTTCCATATAAGAAAAAGGGTGGGAAGGGAAAGAGGACTAAATTAGGCCTCCGGGACGCAGACTCATCAGACTGCTCGCGGAATTGCTTCCACTTCACGCCTGTCTTCTGTGTGGTCGTGGTATTTCACCGGGCGAGCCGGGCCAATTCGTGCGAAGATGTTAAAGCGGGCTCTACCACTGTTAAAACTGTTCTTGTTTATGGCTCTCCCTCAGCGGATTGGGCCAGTTATTTTATGACTTTCCATTTATTTTAAACAACAATGCTTCATCGTATGCAACTATCATGCAAAACAATGTACTCAAAACTGTAGAATGGCAGACCTATTTGAAATAAAACCTTACGTTTAATAATAAAGTAACTGTTCACTGCAAAAGCGTATTTTAACCAACATTGCCACAGAATTTTACATTTAAAGACAATAAAAGTCCTTTCCTATAACTTATTGGTCAAACTTTTTTCTGACGTGAATGAAAAATGTACAATTCCAACAAAATTTATTGTCAATTTAATAAATCGCATTTAGCATTTTAATTATACTCCTCTTGCGTTTGAAAACTGGGTTAGTTTGTTCATCATGCGCGTACTCGGCCTGATGCCAAGGCTGGAGGTACACCGGGAGCAACGCCTCGTGCTCGCTCAACCATTCCATCACGTAATCTATTATCGCCTCCACATGCGGCGACGATTCGAATACAGAACGCATCTCCGATTTCAACGTCTCTGTGCAAGACTGCGAAAGATGGCGGTTAAAATGCTACCAAGGTTACTTCGATAGGAACTGAATAATACTAATTTTTATAAATAATTAATATGATATCTATGTCAATGTATTGGACCCATTGTGGGGCGCATAGTTTGCTATACAGATTTATTAATTTGGTAGTATATTCCAAGTGTGTCTCGAACCTATATTATTTTATTTTATTTTTTTTTTAATTTCATTGTCATATTTACCGTGCTACTAAGTCTTTCAGCTGCTGAATACAAAGCTTCTTTCAGAGTTTTTCCTTTACGTTGACCCTAAGAAAGAAACATAATAATCATTATAAATATAAAAAAAAAAAAAAAATCATCTGTAATTTAAATACCTTAGGCAGTAACTCTTTGACAATAGCAAATAATTCTTCACTTTTATCGTGATAGAGGAAATATGCCCATGGAGAACGAAAAAATGCATATAGATTGTCCAATTTCTTAGCCTAAAAACAACGAAGTTAAATTAAAAATAACCTATACACTGTATTACTATAGAAATCTATATATTTGACCCTTACAGTGCATCGTAAAATAACGTTATTCAAGACAACAGAAGATTGTCCGTAGAGTCTGACAAAGTTCTCTAATGGCCGTTTCTCTGGTGTCAGGCAAGTGATGCCGTCCACAATGAAATCCTTGTTGAAATGAAGCTTGAAATATCCTTCTTTGAATGTCTCTATAACTTCACCCTAGAAGTAAATATATTTACCCATCAGCGTTTTATGGAACTTCAAATTGTTGTTTATGTTATTTTAATGTTATTCATAATTAAGACATTTTGCGGTCTTAATATATTTTGGAGGATAGAAATGCAATTACTTCCATCATTATGCTTAATAATTGTTTTATTAAAAACACGTTAATTGCACTATGACCAAACTTGTTTACGAAACCAAAGCTATAAGAATATCCAAGACGATAATCTCAAACGTCTTACCGTGGGCTTCTGAGACCAATATCTCTAAGACATATTGTCATTCCTGTCATTATCTTTGATGACACACAGATATGAATATTTTTTAAAGGAATATGGACACCCTAGGTTGATAAAATAAAACGTATATTATTTACATTATAATGCAAGGACTGGATATAGAGACATGGAATCTTTTTCCCAGGCGAGCGAACCTCCAAGTACTGAAGTCCACCAGGCAATGTGCAATACATTACCCTTGGCTCCTTAAAATCTGGCAATTTTGTTTTTGATTCAAACTCATTCCTAAAAATGTAAAAATTGAAAGCATTCTTGTCGAGGAGTTTACGTTAGACTTCATCTTTTGAAGTCAGTACGTCAGTTTATAAACTTACGAGGATACAGATGGTGATTCTTTACTGCTAAATGTAGAACCAGAGTCTTCGTTATTACTTTCTGTTCGTTTCACATATTTGTCCATGTCAACAAACAGTGGGTCTAATTGATTCCGGATTTGATTTCCCAGCTGTAATTATTATTAGCATTTCGAAATTAACACATTGAATGCATTCGAAGGAGAGTTCATGTCCAGAAGAAAAAATCGTAGTTGTGTGCAACGTGTTAATAAACATTTTGAAAAAGATTAGAAGAAATTAAATTATGTATTGTATTTTTTGTATCTCCATAATTTATTTTTCTTTTATTTCTTCCCTACACATAGACTAAATGTAACTTTTAAAGGAATCCACCTTAGTTCCAACTTCATACGAATCGTAGTACCTCTGCTGTTTGTCGTCCGCATAATAATTACTATTATACCTCGTGGCCGGCCCTGCCGCGTATATAGAGGCATCTCTAGTTCTGAACTGATGGTCTATCAGAATACCTTCATTGTATGCTATACCACTTTTATTTATAGCTGAAATGTACATCTTACTAATCATATTAATATTATATATGCGAATGTTAAGATGGATGGATGTTTGTTTGAAAGTATTTTTGGAAAGGCTGAAAGGATCTCGCTTAAATTTGGCATAGACATAGAACATATTGTGGAAGAACACATAGGTTGCTTATCAACTTTTTTTTAATACAGCGCGACCAGAGTCCCCGGCAACAACTCGACTAAATATAAATGAGACAGAACACATTTCTTGAACAGATGATGCAAAGATGACTTTGAGACATTTATTCGTGGTATGAGCTCCCACATTTTATCGAAAAATTAATTATGAAGTAATGTTTTACTATGAAATTATAAACTGTGGGGTCACAGACTAAATGATCTTGGTTTTAGCATGTATTCCAATCTAGAATACATTTTGTTTTTATAAATTTTTCTGCCAATTTAAACTAGTCCGATTGTAACCTTACCAACAAAGGCATCTTCATCAACTCCTTGTTTTCCGTAATAGAAGAACGCGGAGCACGGCACTTGAACCATCTCAAATTGAGACATGAAGGTCACTGAAGTCACCGAGTAGTCAAAGTCGCAGCTCCAGGATTCGAAGTAGTAGGAACTATACGTTTTGATGTTTAAATTCTTCAACATATCATTAACAGTACGATCGACCTAATGAAGAAAATATCGGGATGCAAAAATACATTTTGTAACATTTAGTTTAGTTAAAAATCAATATTATACTAGCGGCATGTTATAGTTTCATTGATTAGATGCAAATATCGAACTTGCACATCTTTAAATACGAGAGAAAGATTAGAATAATCAAGATCTGATATATCATGATAAATGAACTACAGCAGAAAAAACATAAAAGGACTCAAGATACAAAATAAAGTAGGACGAGATTAGGACCTATGGCACCAAGAGAGAATAGAATAAGAGAGGGAAGAGCTTTTAAAAAACAATACACTAACATATACGTTCGCAAAAACAGATATCCTAGGTTTTTTCGGGTCCTCTGATGGGAATGGTTCTACGAACACAATGTTCTGACTTGGCACTCCCATTTGCAGCATTGTTGATAGACAACAGTACGCGTGTATTGTAGCTCCATACACAAGAATACAATCTGCAATATAAATTATCCAAAAGATAATTTCATCATCAGCTCGCTATACGTCCCCACCGAAGGGCTCGGAGCCTAACCAAAGTTAAGAGTGATTAGGCCATAAAAGAGTATTTATCAATATAATAAACAAGTCTATGTTACCGTATAAACCTACTGACGTGATATTAACGCAGAAAAAAAAGTAAAACTAGAACGAATTAATAACGGTAGTGATACAAAATTATCTGCAAAACTTGAATGATGTTTTTTTATAAAGCATTGACATTGAAGCCAATTCTAAGAAATACACAACAAAGTATTTTTTGTATATTTTCGTAACAACTTTACAATTAAAGTGTTTATACCAGTTTCATTGAAGCAATACGATGACACTTGTTAGAAAGAACATATTTTTTACCTTCCTATGTAATTTAAGTTATTATATAGGAAGGTTATATATTATATATATATATATAAATGTAATTATTTTGATACATACATGGATCAAAGTACATCAAGTTGTTTCTGATATATTTCAAAGCTTTATTGGCATCAGAAAGGTTATTGATAATAAACACATTTTCAGGTAATTTCTTGCTAAAACATCTTTCTCTCGCACATATTGGAACATCCAATGGTGTGTAGATTGGAATAAGACCTTTCCTATAACATGGTTACAACACTTAGCAATTTTTTAAGAAATAACCTAATATAATCTATGTATATTTCACACTAATAGTTTGCAGAAATAATTTTTTATTTTGACTTACTTCATTTTATCTTCTCTATCTAATATCGTCTTCATGTAAGTAGGATGTTGATATTGTTTGCCGAACAATAAGAAAAGTAAGTCGTAGTTATATTTATTACCATTCGCTAATCCTACGTACTTCGCACGTCTGAAATCAAACACAATC